GGATTTAAGGTAGAGGGGTCCTAGGAGAGGCATCTCGGGGTCCCACAGGGCCTAAGCGATGGGAAGGGCACAGCCGACAGGGAGGGGCTTAAAGAGGCTGCGAAAGCCGGGCTGCTGGAGGCGGAATGGCCTGAGAGGTGGGCTGAGGGGGAGTGGCCAAGTTTTGAGAAAAGCCGGGAAGGGAGCCGGAGGCCAAGGGCAGGGTCACGGAGCGCTCGGGAAGACTGGCCCGCGGAGCTGTCGGACGGGATCTGGGCGTTCTGGTGCTGTGCGGACCGCCTCTGCCGACCCAGCCGTGGCCCTGTTTGGGGCCTCGCTCCGCGTAACCCGCATTAAGTTACAAAGGCTTGTCGGGTTTGTAGCATAACCGGAAATCAGAGTGAACAGGTTTTCCAGCCAAATGGTGTGAGGGGCAGCCAAGCCGAAGATTCATTCCTCCATTAAGGTGTGCTGTAGCAGGACTAAGCATTTATACTGTGTATGAAGATACAAGTTTTCAAAACAGATTTACGTTTCTGACTTACTATAGAATGCCCTTAAATCGCAAAAAGCTTTATTATGCTTGAAATACTTCGTACAAAATAGAGTTTGGTATACCGTCCGGTAAATACTGGAAGTTGAAGTATGTCATTTGAATTAATAAATGAGAAGTTATCTACATTTGTTAGGTATACTTCTATTGTAGGGTTATCATGCTACAAGTGAAAAATACCTCATTTCTGAGCCGAGGGTGGCATTAGATTAGGAAGAAGCACGTGCTGTATTTATATCTCTAAGTCCCCATTGTACAGATGGTCAGAACACGAAGAACACAAGAAATAGGAAAAACCAACATGTGAAAATATGTTCAACCTTGCTAGTAATTAAACATTTGGAAAACTGAAACAGCCAGGAGGCACTATTTCATACCTACTAAAGTAGTAAGCTTTTTTTAAAAGGCAAAAATACCCAGTATTGAGAATGCAGTGCAAAAGATGTACTCATTGAGTGGACTGAATACAACGGTTGTTTTTATAGATGGCAGTACAAGAAATAACAGAAAAGATGTTTACATCTTTCCCCCAAATTCTATTCTAGTACCCTTAAAGCATTCAGAATAAGGTAAAAACCTTATTTAGTGTCTTTATAACACTTTTAGTGTTATAGTTTTAGTGTCTTTATAACCGAAAGAACTGATAAATGTTACTCTCCAAATATGAGGAAAGCAAGCAGTCACAGCTGCCTAACAGTAATACGTAGGCAGTACAAGTGAGAAATAATAAATTAACAGGTTAAATGGAAAGGCACATTTGAAATTACAAGAGTAGAACAATTATATTACAAATTAAGTAAAACTAGGAATAACTATTGGAAGAATAATTGTGATTAGTGAAAGGGCTTATACTGTAACTTTATAAATTATGAAAATGTTTTGGTGATTTTGAATTGACCAGGATATCTTACTACTTCCACTGTACTGGAATTTAGTAACTGGATCTAAATCAGCCTTTGTATGATACTGTCTTCAGTTTGCTGATCACTTCCGTAGGTAGGATTGCTTAAACCTGGGTTTGTTATTTTTCAGTGCATAGCCGGTTTTTATTTGAATATACTTTTGACAGGTGTAGTTAAATCACAGGAGGGCACAGGTCAAACAGTCCACGGTGTAAGTTTACCCCAGAGGTGTGGTAGGAATTCTTAGGTTTTCAGGCCTGAGAGAATAGGTCTGAACTCCCCTGAACAGATTGGATAACAGAAGTCAAGGAAAAGGAAGGCTCAAGACTCTAAGGTTTGAAGTAGAGAAACGTGTAGAATGGTGACAACCAATAGGAAGTGGGTAGATGGAAAGAGGAATTACTGGGTATGAAAGTTCTTTACATGCTTAATTTTAACATAATGACCTAATTAAAATGGCTTGTAATTAATAGTTGAAAATATGTAATTCCAAGTCAAGTAAAAGCTCAGGATGAAAAACATAAATATATAAAACGTTTAAATTGAAGTGATACATGAAGCTAAGTTTTAGGAAGGCAGCTTTCAAATTAATTTGGAAATTCTGGTTCTGAGTACAGCTTGTACTCAGGTTTTTATTTGTTTGCACATTTATATATAATTTCAAAACAAGTGCTAAATCAGTGAATTTTCTTTGACAATAACAATGTGTTTTGTGCTTACATTTGAAATGCCAATGGTAAAATATCTATAGTCATAAAGTAATCCTTATCTCTGCTCCCCAGGTAATGAGTAAATACGCTACCAGGGAGATCACTTGAGGAAATTGACTTGCACTAAATGTAAGTGGCTTTGCTGATTAATTTCAGTCGATAAACACAAGTGAAAATGATTAACAGTATTTAGTTTGCAAACTCCATTTTATTCATGGTTTGTTTCTGCTTTTTTTTAAATTAGTTCACAAATCTGGTACATACAGGCAGTTAAAACTGGTTATCACTTTGATAATCAGAAGCCTCTGGTATAACACAGTCTTCATGAAAACAAAACGGGGAGAATGCATGGTGGTAATCTCTATGAAAGCAATGGTTGCAAACATCCATGTTTCTAAGAAAATATAACTTTACATATATATTTTAAGCAAGCTATACCTCTTACATAAATTCAGACAATAGGAGTGTGCAATCATAATGCTTATTTTATGGAAAAAATGAAAATTATTATAATTATGACATAAATGCTCTTAAGTAATTAGAGTCCTCTTGGATTGGATGTAAACATAAAGATATTTTCCCTAATTTACAGCCATCCTGGTCAAAAAGAGCTGAAATGTTAATCAGTAAGTAGGAATGCCATTAACTAAGTTTAATCCAAATTCTTTAGGTACAAATTGTAAAGTGTTCCAATTCCAGCTAATTTAGGGAACTGAGTGAGAATAGTCATCAGTTTTTAAATGACGACTTTTGAAGGAATTGAGCTTTTTCTAAGCTAGTTTTTGTGAGAGCATCATTTTTTTTTTAATCTCATAGGTTTAGAGGTTATTTTATGAACTCTAAAAACATTCTAGTTCCTCAGTTTTTTCAAAGGAAGAGAATTTCAGTGTTTGGATGGACTATCCCACACAAATGTCACCTGGGGACAATCCTTGGAATAAGTCAAGAGGCTTTGAGGACAACCAAAGTGTAACAAACAGGAATCGATTTAAACCAGAAGGAATCAATGCACACACTTCTCTCGGACGGTTCCTGTCTTTAGAAACTGGAATGGGGATTACCAACACATTCTACACAAAAATTACTGGAGCGACATCCTGTAATGGGGGGTGTTTAGTTATTACCCGTGGCATATGAGATTAATAAGCTAAAGGGGAAAAAACTATCTCATTTTCTCCCCTGAACTCAACTTCAGCTTTCTGTGGAGGCACTGAGGCCATGCAGCTCCTCTTCTAAAGGACAGAGATATAAAAGCCAAATAAGGTAGAGGACTTTGAAATTTTTCTCTCATTTAATTTTCTCTGAAAAGCTAAATTCTACATAATGGTGAGAATGTTTGCTCAAAGAAAACTGACAAGTAAAAACTAACTTAAGAGACAGATATTTAAGATAAATTGTACTGGAAATACAGTAACGAATTTTGGCCTAATAACCCTCATGCTGTCTAGCATGTCTAGCAAAACACTAAAATTCATGCAACAGAGAAATTGGTGACATGAGGACCTTTTCTCCAGACTTCCGGGGTGAGGGGGATGAGGATTCAGAATATCCTGTTTTCTTCTGTTTGCTTTCGTAATGAATTATTCTTGCTTTTGACTGACTTTCCCAGTCACTTCCAATGAGAAATTCTTCAGTAGGAGATCAAGTAAACTTACTGAAAGATATCAGATATCTTTTGAGCTCCTTCTGTATGCTAGAGGAGCAATCAAAGAGATTACGTAAAACTACCTCCACTACGAAAATGGCAGGTAGAATTAGAACCAGGAATCAGTTGTCATTAATATACTTGTAATAAAATAAAGCTTGTTCTGAAACCACAAGGATAAGAAGAGAAGACCCTTATAAAAGCTACTGGGTTCTCTAGAAAATGGATACAGTATATAGAATGTGAGAACATATAGAACTCACACTTGAGTTATAAAAATAGACATGGTTCTCAGACAAAAACAAATGAGTACAAAAGAATTCTCCAAACATGAACTATTTTAAAAGACACATTTATATAAAACAACAAAATGTCATTTCAGAGCTCCAATGAGTAGTCTGTTGAAACAGCTGGAAAACAGAGATGAACTAGAGACAGACAGGTCAAGAACCCAGAACTGACTTGTCTGACTCTCCTGGTTGGCAGTGTACATTGGTCACAGGCTGACTGCTTTTGGGAATGAGTATTTGTGTGTGTGTGTGTGCATATATATGTATATACATACATACATATATATATATATATATATATATATATATGGCTGATTAGTTGATGGTACTTGGTAAATGACTGAGAAAACCCAAGTTATTAAGTCATCTCTGGAAGTTTAACTCTTTTCTCTTAGTTTCTACACTTGACAGTGTTGCACATGAGAAAAGATTCTAGGGTTTTTTTAACCCAGAATCAACCCTGCCATTCACAACTCATGCTCCATGCCCCATGGTTCCTATTGTGCCCTAAAGGATCAACCTAGACTAAATACATAATCGAAAATAACTTGAAATGAAGAGGGGCAGACCAGTAACTCATGCTCAGTACTCATAAATTACAAACACTGAAATGAACGGTCTGTCTCCTTTTGACTGCAACGGAGACACCATGAGTTAAAGGAAGTCATGAGAGAAAGAAAGTCAACGAAATATGGGTAGCAGCACCTTTCCATACCCGCCTAGATTTTTAAGGAGACTTTAACTCCTTATTCCTTTCAAACACAAAGTTCGTCAGTTGGAAGGGGGAAAAAATGGCTCTACGGTGGAAGAGTCCCCAGAGAAAACTAGCAGTACATGAAATGTGCCCTCTGTGGGCTAAAGGACAAGTTGCAGAACCAGTTAAGACACAAGAGGCAACCCAAGGTCTTACTATACTTTAGCGAAGTATAGCACAACATGGGCAGCCCTTTTTCCATCCAATCAACAATTCAGCACCATCCATGCCCGATCCAAAAACTTCCTGAAGAGTGGGCTTTCATCTTTGGTACCACCTCAGGAGTTCCTCTTGGTTTGCAATAGCTGCAAAGAAGCAAAAAAGCTGGTACCTTTGCCTTGTCTGTGAGTACAAATGCTGGGACTCTGATTGCTGCAACTATTGAGGCCAATTAAAGTAATACTGTAACACACAGGAGTGATGCATCCAATTCCCAGTTTCCAGATAATAGCAGCCATGCCCCGACAGGAGCGGGATCATCCATTCCCACTGGTTAAGGCCTTCGGTTTGTTGTCCTCAGAGTAGAATAAAACACTGTGTTCCCACGGACAAGGAACTCCAGATGAACCCATGGTCTACAGGTGGACAGGGATTTTAAGTACCACATAAGCCAGGCACAGAAACAGTCCTGGCCTGGGGCTGTCACACTTGGAGAAGCTTCTTTTTTGGCAGCACAAACTAGAAACTTCTTTGTGTATTCTGGTTTTAGTCCTCTTTCCTGAGTGAAACAGCCAGGGGGTGCCAAGTTCCATGAGCCCCCAATCCAACACTCAGCATTAATTCTCTCCATGGTCTTCTTCCACCCAGGCGACAATTTTCCCTTCCCACCCAGGGATGGCATCATCATCGTGAAAAACCTAGAGGAAGAAAAAAAAAGCCACAGTGAAAAAATAAGTAAGACAGGAAATCTGTCTAGACGGCTGCTGCTGATAAAACTAAGACCTCAGCACAGAGGATAAAGAACATACAGAGGAAAGCCTTAAGTTAGAGTCTACGTCCCTTTTGTTTCGTCCCTAAAGTTATACCTAAACTTAAAAATGTATACAAATGCATACATATATATATATATAATATTTTTAACATATATAATATGTCATTGTATTTTGTATAATAGATTATGTGCATTATATATAATACAACATATACTATATCCTATTATATTATTATATATTATTCAAATCACATAACATATTCTTATATGATACATATATAGTTTTTTTTAATCTGTGAAATGGTAAAAGCATCTCTAACCTTGCTTTGCTTATAGAGTTTGATTAGGATTAATAAATTACTAATCATACAGCACTTTAAGGTGCTTAGGAGAAAGCAGTAGCATATGTATTACAAAAATGAGAAAGGGTAAAATTTTGGTCCCAGGTATCGTAAAGAAAGGGTTAGAAAGAAGACCAAAAGAACAGGCAGTTCTTTTTATTCATTCATTCAATTTTCTAAGCCACTAATAGAACAGGGCTATTAAAGCATTTCAGTGTGGAAATATTTATGAAATAAAACATGGCTTTAATCACAATGTGATTATGTAAGAACCCAGAACTCTCTTCCCTATATTTGGCAGATGGATTATAAAGAGAAGCGTAAGCTAAGAAAACAGTCAAGGAGTTGAGAATAAGCAGACGTGACTTTCCAGAAGTTCCTCATTTTAATTATCTGAGAAACTACCATCCCGATACACAGTTCCACATATTCATGCCTGTTTGTTTATCTTGCTCAACACAGGAAGCAGAGAAGTTTCTAAGATTTAGCTACAGATAGAGAAGGGACCCCCTCAAGCCAAGCTTCCATTCAAGCTTAGGTCCTTTTATTTTCACTAACAAAACTTTCTCCTTTTTAAAATAAAGCATTCTGTCTCAGTTTGTCAAAGTGATTAAGTCCTTGAACTGAGGAAGCTGCCAGATCCTTGTGCATTCCCTGACCACATCGGTCTAGAGTAATCAGATGGGCCTGAGGCTCTGGGAAACTCCTCTGACCTGGGGAGGGAACTCGGGTACTGGTCGCAGAGGAGGCGGCTCTGGGGTTCAGGAACCAGCAGTAATACCACCCAGGCTCCCCAGGGATTCTGTACCTCCTCTTTGACAGTGCCAAACTCAGGATCCAGCGCTTTGAAGTGGTACCGGTGATTTCCCTCCCGGTCAATAGCTGCTTTAAAATCCTTTAGTGTCACCTCCCCCAACCTGCAACAAAAGGCAAGAGGACTGACGTAGACTGCTTCTCATTAGGCTGGGAAGATGAGATGTTACCTTTAAAGCCAGGCCCCTGCCAAAGACTCTCCAGGCAGAAATGACATGGCCTTGTTAGGTCCCCGTCCCTGGGAACCCAGACAATTCTACAGCAGAGGTTAGGGAGCCACCAAGAGGGAAGAAGAATAGCATTACGGATGGGGTGCTCTGAGAATTTAAAACAGATGTTTGTGTTCCAGCAGCAGCCAGATCGCTTTTGTCTGTTTTACTCTGGAAATCAGACACCATAAGATCTCTGAAATCTAATTGGCTGAACTATCCATACGTCTAAGTTCTCTTGATTTCCTTCTTTGCAACAATATTCCATCTCTCTAGGCTGGTAGAATTAAGTCAGACATCACCATCTTCATCTTTCTAGCTTCAGAAAGCTCCCTGTTAGCCCAGACCAACTAAGCAAACTCTCCAGGAGAGGGACAACCTATTACCTCTCTCAGCTGTTGGTTCCAGAGCTTAAGAAGTCTTCCTTTCAAAGCCATTTATTTACCTTACAAGGGAGTATAAAGGTATGTTTGAAGGTTTTTAACATGAATTCTCAATTGCTTAGATGCAATCATCAAACAGGACAGAGATCGATGAGTAACAGTCCTGGAGGGCCAGGCTGCAACCCACGGCTACCAACAGGAGCTGTTTTGAACCCTTACAAAATGATTTTTCCTAATGCGGAACATAATTGTGCCTCAGGATTGGAAGCACTATTACTGCGTCTGTACTTTGCAGCAGATCATGACTTGTCCCTTACAACGCCACTGGTTAGCGGTGACACTGCAACTAGGATCCCAATCTGTATTCTTCCTACACCATACTGTTCCTCAAACACCTCTCAGCTCGTTCAGTGGGAGGTAACCCCTGAGTCCGCCTCCTGTCACTACTTTGTCCTTTCAAAAAGTGAAAGAGAAACCACAATCCTGGAATCTCACCTCTTTGGTATGTTGACCATGAAGGGTGTGAGTGACCGGTCAGTGAAATAGAGCACTTTCGTGCAGGTGCTGCTGACAGCCGGGGAGCTCTGTGAGTGAGGCAACCCTGCAGTCGGAGAGAGATGCTGAGGTCAGAGCTTGCTCCCAACCCTGCCTCATTCCCAGTCATTCGAAGTGTCCCAGGAGCACGAAGCTGCCTGGAGTCACAGCGCAGCCTCCACACCATTGGAAAACACCAGCCACGTCCGTGGGGTGTGATCCACGGGAAGTCACCCCTAGGGCCATGAAGCCAGAAAGAGATGCTTTGGGCACGGACACTATCATGAGGCCACCACTTCTCACCCATTCCAGGTACTTCTCCCAGGGAACAACGAGGGTCCCGACAGGCAGTGTTGCTTCAGAGTCAAAAGAGGTCAAAGAAGCCAGGCAAGATCTCAACTAAGGGAGAAGGGACACAGAGCAGGAGGCGCAGACATTGCCAACCTGTAGACGGTGTAGAGAACGCCCACGCAATTCATGGAGAGACGTGAGCAGGAGCAAGAACCACAGAGCAAAGTGACCTTAGAAACTCGGATCCCAAGGGACTTCATGCTTCCTTGCGAAAGGAACAAAACCTATCTCATCCCTTAGCTACACAGGATCTGTATGTGTTGGTTCCATGGTTTGTTTGGTTTTTATTTTTTTAAGATTTTATTTATTCATTTGACAAAGAGAGAAAGAAAGCACACAAGCACAAGCAGAGGGAGAGGCAGGCAGAGGGAGAGGGAGAAGCAGGATTCCCACAGAGCAGGGAGCCCGATGCGGGCTGGACCCGGGACCCTGGGATTGTGACCTGAGCCAAAATTAAGAGTCAGCCGCTTAACCAACTAAGCCACCCAGGCCAGGTGCCCCAGTCCCATGGTTTTTAACTCAAAATTCCTTGGTTTGCGTCTTCTCTATGCTTTATACAGGTACTTATTAAAAATTTTAATTAAGGAGTACTTATGATTACGCCTTTAATAGGAGAAAAGACTAATTAGAAATTTTTATCAAAAGAACCAAAAAACAGGGGCGCCTGGGTGGCTCAGTGGGTTAAGCCTCTGCCTTCAGCTCAGGTCATGATCCCAGAATCCTGGGATCGAGCCCCGCATCGGGCTCTCTGCTCAGCGGGGAGCCTGCTTCCTCCTCTCTCTCTCTCTCTGCCTGCCTCCCTGCCTACTTGTGATCTCGCTCTCTGTCAAATGAATAAAATCTTTAAAAAAGAAAAAAAAGAACCAAAAAACAGTAATTACTGTACCTTATAATCTGATTTGTTATAATATTAAAATCTCCATTGCCATCCTATCTCCATATATTTTCTTAACTTATTCTAGGTATTTCAGCATCCTTGTCATACGAGTTTACTCTCAAGTAGATACTGATTGACTCGTAACAGTATCTTTCTTGCTTTTGTGGATGTCTTATAATTTCTTACTGAATATTAGACATCATGTATATGATGGTAGAGAGTGACTTACCAAATATTTATGTTTAGAAATAGGACCACTGCTCGTTCTGCCAGGCCACAGTACTAGGGACAGTTAATCTGGACTGCAATTGAGCTGGGATTGGGATTTTTGTTCAGGTTACCTTTGCGGCACCACCATCTTCAAATCCCTGTAGAGTTATGTTTAGGAGCTGGATTGCTAGAGGGTTTTTCTTCAATGTTCCTCCATCTTCAGCTTTAGACTTTACTTGTGAGCCTGCGCCCAAGTCAATCTCTCTACACTTGTGCCTTCCCACAGCAAGCTGGTGTTGCTTCTTACCCAGTGCTTGGACATCCATCGGCTGGCAATGAGGGGAGCTTCTCTGTGGTCATGACCCAACCTCAGTCTTGAGGGTGGGGCATTAGCAATGGTCCTACTCTTCTTCCCCCAAGAGTAAGATATGAGCCCAAGACAGTGTCCTACCAGTCTCCCAGGCACAGACAGTTCTTTTTTCCTTTTTCCTTCCCTTGCCAAAATAGGTCTTCACCTTTGCCTGAGACAAGGAGGGAGGAGAAAACTGATTCGCTGCCCTTCCCTACTGGCTTAAGGCTTTTGTTCCTTAAAGAATGCTTCACGCTTTTCCTTTCATGGCAGCTGCTCGGGCCTCCACCACCAAGATAGGCTCTCCCTAGACTCTGTCCCCACAACCAGTATTTTTCATAAGCATCCAATGGAGGTCCATAAAGAGCCTGTGAGTGGGTGCAAACTCCCCTTGCTTCTGTGGCCCTGAGGGTTCCTATCCTCTCTGCTTAGCCTTGAGCAATTACAATCCTAGCTGATTTCTTCCCTATTCGTATGGTGGCGCCATCTTCCTCCCGCAAGTGCACCAGTGCTTGCATCCAGTCTCTCCTTGGAGGCACATCTTTGTACTCAAGCTAGTTGGTTGCTCTATGATCTCATCTCTCATGGATTCAAGAAATTGAAAGTTATGATTTCTTTTAGATTACTCAACTTTGTCTTATTGTTAGGGAAGGAGCCTTCTATATCCTAGGCAGAGGTTGGAAATTATTTTTCTTAACTTTTTAAATTTATTTTTATTTTTACTTATTTGGGGGGGGGCAAAAAGGTGATTTTTTTTTTTTTAAAGATTTTATTTATTTATTTGTCAGAGACAGAGGGAGAGAGAGCGAGCAAGCACAGGCAGACAGAGAGGCAGGCAGAGGCAGAGGGAGAAGCAGGCTCCCTGCCTAGCAAGGAGCCCGATGTGGGACTCGATCCCAGGACGCTGGGATCATGACCTGAGCCGAAGGCAGCCGCTTAACCAACTGAGCCACCCAGGCGTCCCAAAAAGGTGATTTTTATTAAAGCATGGGGAGCAGAAAGAGCTACCTAACTTACTTTTTAAAAATAGAGGTAAAATTCACATAACACAAAACTCACCATTTTAACCATTCAAAGTGTATAATTCAGAGGCATTTAATACGTTTAGTGTTATGTTACTGTAACTACTATCTAGTTGTAGAACATCTTATTATCCCAAAAGAAAACTTCATACTCATTAAGCAGTCCCTCCTTCCTAATCTTGGAATCTGTCTGATGTACTCACTGGTTGTTTCTCTGGATCTGCCTATTCTGGGCATTTCATATAAAAGGATTCATGTTTATACCCTTTTGTGTCTGGCATCGTTCACTTAGCGTTTTCAAGGTTCATCCACGTTGTTGCATGTATCAGTGCATTGTTTCTTTTTACATCTGGATAATATTCCATTGTATGCACATGCCAGAATTTGTTTAAACATTCATTGGGTGATGGATGAACATTTGGGTTGTTTCCACCTTCTGGCTATTGTGAATAATGCTAGGTACATGTGTGTGCAAGTTTGTTGTTTTTTTTTTAAATACCTGTGTTTTTAATTCTTTGAGTATATACCTAGGAATGGAATTACTGGATCACAGAGTAATTCTGTATTTAAGTTTCTGAGGAACCACTAAACTGTTTTCCACAGCAGGTGTACCATTTGACATCCCTACCAGCAATGTCTGGGACCTCCCCCTCAACAACATTTATTTTCCATTCCTTTAGAACTAGGGTATCTCACTGTGGTTTTGATGTGCGTTCCCTAATGACTCTTGGTTTTACACATCTTTTCATGTGTGGACTGGCTATTTGTTTATCTTTGGAGAAACGCTTATTCAAGCCCTTTGCCTGTTTATTCCTGGATTTCTTTGTCTTTTGTTGTCAGTCTCTAAGAGTTCTTTGTATATTTGCCTTATCAGATAAATGATTTTTCAAGTATTTTCTCCTATGGCCTTTGTCTTTTCACTTTCTTGATAGTGTCCTTTGATGCAAAACTTTTTAATTTTGATGAAGTCCCAATTTCCCTATTTTTTCTTCTACTGCTCATGCTTTGCTTTGTTTTTTGTTGCTGACTGAGAATCCAAGGTCATGAATATTTTCCATGTCTTCTAAGAATTTTACAGCTTTAGCTCTTACATTTACCTCAATGATCCATTTTTAATTTTTATACATGGTGTGAGGTAGGGGTCCATCTCTACGCTCTACATCTCTACATGTGGATATACTGTTGTCCAGCACCATTTGTTGAAGAGACTATCTGCTGGTCTAATGACCACAGATGTATAGGTTTTATCTTAACTCTCAATTCTATTCCGCTAATCTACTGTATTACTTAATTTTTTAAAGATTTTATTTTTATTTATTTGAGAGAGACAGAGAGAGCACCAGTGGGGTGGGGGGCAGAGGGAGAGGGAAAAGCAGACTCTCCACTGAGCAGGGAGCACAACGCAGGGCTCCATCCCAGGACCCTGGGATAAGACCTGAGCCAGAGGCAGACGCTTAACCAACTGAGCCACCCAAGGGCCACTCTACTGTATTACTTCTTAAATCCAAAATAATTATTATTGCTTTCCCTTAAGAGTAAAAGGCAAGAAAAGAAGTGGATTCAGAGAAAAGATTACTCTTTCAGGAGATCTGGGTGTGATGAAATGGAGAAAGACAGGGCATAAGCCAGAGGGAAATAATTGGAAGGTATTTTGAGACTATAAACATTGCACCTCTCATCTGCCACACACTATGCCATGTTATTTGCACATATTTCACTTAATGCTCATAATCCTTCAAAATTATCTCCATTTCATGAACAAGGAAAGTAAAATTCATATATATTAATTAACTCCCTTGCCCATGATCACACACTCTACTGAGAGCCAAAACTACACCCCCAGATCTGTTTGATTCCATACTCTGTATTTTTCCCACTCTATTTTGTGTCCAGTTTTGGACAAAAAGTTTGAAATGCCATTCTGCCTATAGGGAGATATCTAGTTGTCATTCAAAAATACAGCCCTGGGGTACCTGGATGGCTCAGTGGGTTAAAGCCTCTGCCTTTAGCTCAGATCATGATCCCAGGGTCCTGGGATCAAGCCCTGCATTTGGCTCCCTGCTCAGTGGGGAACCTTCTTCCCTTCCTCTCTCTCTGTCTGCCTCTCTGCCTGATTGTGATCTCTGTCAAATAAATAAATAAAATCTTAAAAAAAAAAATACAGCCCTGAAACTCAGAAAAGGGCTGGGGTTAGAGATTATAAATTTAAAAATAATCAGCACATAAGAACAGCTGAAGGCATGGGAGTAGAAGGGATCGCCTAAAGAAAACATGAAAAGGCCTCGGTGTAGATCTCCCATGGATCCCAGGACAGATCAACATTTAAGGGTTGGAGAGAGAAGAGAAGAGAAGGAGGCGGTGGTGAGTTCACTGGACTGCACATCTGAAGAGGGCAAGCACCTCGTCCATCCTGTTCATCTCTTTATCTCCTGTGTCTAAAATGGGCACTGCATAATGGATGCTTAATAAATATTTGTTGAATGAATAACTGGTTGGTACCGAAGTTAAAGAGGAAAAATATGTGCAGGAGGAAACTATTCAAGAACAGTCAGTGAGGGCTCCTGGATGGCTCAGTGGGTTAAAGCCTCTGCCTTTGGCTCAGGTCATGATTCCAGGGTCCTGGGATCGAGCCCCACATCGGGCTCTCTGCTCAGCAGGGAGCCTGCTTCCCCTCTCTCTCTCTGCCTGCCTCTCTGCCGACTTGTGATGTCTGTCAAATAAATAAATAAAATCTTTAAAAAAAAAAGAATAGTCAGTGATTTTTAGAAGTCAACAGAAGACAAGGTTTGAAAAGTAACCACTTTGGTTAAGGCCAAGAAGGTCAACAGTGATCCAACAAAAAGAACACTAAGTAAGTGGATTTGCTGAGAAAAAGCTGACTGGTGGCTTGAGTAGTGAATGGGAAGAAAGGATGGAAAAAGATCCCATGTAGACTATTTTTTCAAGGTTTTATGTGAAGGAATAAGAAAAAAAAGTCGGTAGGTAGGAGGCTAACGAGTTACACAAGTTTTTTTATTTTCAGGAGAGAGATCTTGTAACTGTGAATACATAAATTAGATTAACTCCCTACATATAAGCAGCTATGAATACTTGCAGTATTTAGGATAAATACAGCAAATACATAAAAGGATTTTTCCAGGAAGGAAGGAATTTATTAGATTTTTAAAGAAGAATTTCCAAATATTTAGAATTATCTGCATTGGCAACTTATATTAACCTAAAGAAAGTCCTGAAGGGGATGACAAAATAAAAAGCTTCTCAAGAAAATAGAAATGAGGGACATCTGGGTGGCTCAGTTGGTTGAACTGAGCCTTTGGCTCAGGTCATGATCCCAGGATCCCGGGATCGAGTCTAGCATCAGGCTCCTTGCTCAGCAGGGAGCCTGCCTCTCCCTCTCCCTCGTCTGGCCGCTCCCCCTGCTTGAGCACACACACTCTTTCTCTCTCTCTCTCTGACAAATAAATAAATGAATAAATAAAATCTTAAAAAAAACCAGAAATGACTGTTTCAAAACAATGCTAAAAAAGAAATTGAAACTAATTCTGGTACTAATATAATTTTTTATTCCCAGTGTAAATCCATCATTCAAGAAGAAAAGGTATCTGGGGGCTTACGTATTATTTTATTTGCCCTACAAAAAATATTTTATCTTTCTTATTGTGCCAATATCTTAAGTGTCTTACTTTAGATTTTGTTTATTAATGTAGCTTTCAAAACTGTGTATGTAACAAATGGTTAGCTTTTTACTATTTGGTTTTTGTAGATTATTATGTACTTTTATATTAGGCCTGGGTAAGCCATAAAAGACAAAATGTAGATATTATTAAAGAAAAAGGTAACATACACGATAAAAGTGAAATTACCAGGCAGGGTAGGTTTCCAGCATGTTTGAAGGCATAGAGCAGATTAAATTACTTCTTCAGCGTGGCCACTAGATGGCGCAAGTCTTTTGAAAGACCCAAGCCCCCAGTTTTAAGGAAAATCTCCAAAGAAATTGAACTTTTTGCCTTCAGGAAGAACTGGAAATTTTCTGTACTATTTGGGACTGTAGGGTGGTTTGTGTATGTTTTTGTTGTTTTATATTCTGCCGTGTTCGGTGTAAATATTTTGATATTGTGTATTTTCCAAAGATATTTTGGAAATATCTTTGGAATATCCTGAGTCAGGAGCATCCTGCACGTGCTAAACGGTACTTGGGGTAATGGTGCTGATGATGGCCGGTAAGTGTCTTCACATCCTAGAAGTAACTCGATTCAAGTATTCCTACAGAAATATGTAAGAGTGAAGTACCACAAGAAAAATTCTACTCTCAAAATGTCAGTAGCAAGAAAAGTACTAAATTTCTGATCTAATAAGCTAGGAGCCCTTATTGAGCAGTAATGAGTACTTACTTGAATTAGGGGGCCAGGACTCCCGGTATTCACTACCTGCTTGAGTTCTGGGTGACTTGCCCCGAACCTGAGGAGTCACACAAAAATACCAAGAGTTATCACCAGCAGGAGAATTTATCCAAGAAATTTAAATCATAAAAATGTACCTGAAATATATACTTTTCTACCCCATCTTCCGCAGTATATAAAATTGGACAATATATTCTAATAAGAACAATGTACATTTATAAAAGGCTCTCTAGTCTCCAATGTAGTTTCCCATATATTTCTGCATCCAATGCCAACCTCATTCAGGGGAGAAGAAGGGCAAGAAGCAGTAGAGAGAGACTCCTGTGGGCTCAAGAACCACACTTCCTTAAACCCTTACGCAATTTCTAGGAGCAAGATGCAGAGTCGGCTCCACTTAGAGGAAAACCTTTGACATGTCTGTTGGCAAAGCCGTCATCTCAACTAAGCTTGATACAACGAAGTTCTTTGGTGCAGGCCCAAGAGAACCGGCCCAGAAAGAGGATTACCCTTCTGTCCGACTTCTTCTGGGTCTCCATGGCATGCAAGCGCTCCATCAGGCTGGAGAGGCCCTGCTCCAGGCTGTCGATGGTGTGATGCTGAGGGTCGTGGCCGCTGAAGCTGCCGCGCAGGCTGCGGAGCGCGTCGCGAACGAGCTGCAGGTCGCTGGTCTGGGGGCAGAAGGGAGGTGCCGCTGAGCTGGCGTGGCCGCAGGACTAACCACATCCCCATCGCTGGGCTCAACACCGTACAGCAGAGGCTCCCAGTCTGGATCTTTTATTTTCGAGGGAGGAGGTATGAATGCTAAGAAATTTTCCTTCACAGAAGTGGACCTATTGTTTGCCCATTAATTATTCATGGCGGACAGCAAGAGTCTCACATCCTCTGCACTCATCAGATGCAGGAATTAGGGAACTGGGGTACAAAAGGCCCGAGGGTACTGGCAATGGTTAGGCCACTGTTCCGGTTTTAGCTGGAAGTGGGGTCTACACACAAATCCTAAGAACCTACCCCTTTGTGAGTGACGGAAGCAGCTCCTTTTCCTGCCACTGGAAGGAGAAAACCATTGCTCTGAGAGTTGTGACTGTTGTAGCTGGTCACCTACGGCAGCAAAAAGTGACGCTTGTTGTAAGGGAGAATTCCAAACCGAGATGTCCTCATCTTTCTTACTCACATTTACCACTTCCTGACACAGTATACCATTGTCTGTCTGTTCATGTCGCTCTCAATTAGAATTTAACCCTCATGAGTGCAAAGACCTTTTTCTCCTTTCGTTCCCTGCTGTAACCCCGGTACTTGATACCTGGTTGGCACTGCTGAATGAGGAATGAGCAAAACGGAAGCCTCGGCTGGGGGACCCCCAACCTTGCCTCAGCCTGGCCATGGGCAGGCCTGAGAAGGCTGCTTCAGCACCTCCTGACTTCACTTCAGCGAGGAAAAGAATAAGAACAAAGACAAATATTTTGGAGCCTGACTTTGTGCCAAGTGGACTGTCTATTTTCCAGATGAGTCATTTCTTTTTTTTTTTTCTGATGAGCCTTTCTTTTTTTTTTTTCAATAGGTCTTATTTCTAAAGCTCAGAAATGAAGCAAATTAAGGTCACACAATGGCAACAAGTATGAAAAGCTGGAATTTGAAACTAGATTTTCTTTGCCTGGAAGCTGCGTTCTTATTTTTAAATTTTTTAAGTTTTATTTATTTACGTGTTCTTGATACCCAATGTGGGGATCGAACTCAAGACCCCGAGATCAAGATATATTGCTTGCATATTGCTGTGACTGAGCCAGCCAGGAGCCCCTGGACCCTGCACTCTAACCCCCCTCACCAAATAGCCTCTTTGACCCTAAAGATGTGGAAGGGGGGCCCGAAAGGGCAGGTTACCTCATCTGCCTCTCTTTTCATACAGTGAGCCAAAAGGACGTCTTTCTGTTCCAGCTCCCGCTCTAGGTCCACCTGCAAGGAAGAGACGACATCAGAAAAAGCTGTCTTCCTGCTGGAGGGACAGGAAGTCAGTGGGGGCCTCTACTCCCACCTGCTGGTAACTGGCCTCAGAGAGCTTCCGGAGGGCTTCTTCCAGCTTGGCCTGGTGCTGCTGGAGGAGGCGCTCCTTCTGCCCCAGCTCCTTCTGCAACAGAGACAGAGCTTTCAGGTGGGTGCAAAGCCAAGGGCGCTGAACAGCTCACCGCTGGCCGGATAAGTTCCACCTGAGCAAAGGAGAGGCTCAAGGGGAAGAGTCCTTTCTTCAAGCCACACAGGAAGACATGCCACACCGTAGTGATCTGACACAGTACAGAGGGTTCTTGGAACAGTAAGGCGGAAGGGAACTAGCATTTGTGGGAGGACCGCCACATGGCACGTGCACGCACGCAGGTTAGACATAAAGGTTGAGACAGAAGTTTGCAGACAACCAGCTCTGTACTCCTTCTCGTAGACATGCTATCTGTTCTTCAGGGTTACGGAATCAAAGGCACCCAGAAGATGTCCTTGCAGAAAGCAGCAATGAGAACAGAGTGTTCAGAGCTCTCTGAACAACAGCAACAACAGACTATCCATAAAAGGTCAAATGGGAATCATTTCCAAACTGATACACATTCTTACTTTATACTCTCCCAAGAGCCTGTTCCGCTCCTCTAGCTTCCTCTGCAGGTCCACCTGCAAGAAGGAAAAGAAAGAATTAACCGGCACAGAGGTATCGCCTGCCACGCCCGGCAGGAAACCAACCACGCAGTAACCAGAGCTGATGCTGGCTGAGAGGGCACAGAGCACAGAGAGCACACGGCTATGGCGAAAACACACAGCTGCTCTCCATTTCTGTAGTAAGATAATCAAATGGTAGCACCACGGTTTTGTCTGTCTCAGCGTGCTCAGAATTGAAGGGCTCGAGGCCAGGGAGGTATGGGCTTTCAGCCGAGGGCAGAGATGACTCTAACAGGAAGTAAGACTAATTGCAGACACGGAGGACGGGCAGCTCAGAAATAAGCTAAGGAGTCAGGATGGCAGATCGAACAGGACTTCATGTGTCCTATTTTGCTCCTGGGGCTCCATGAGGTCAGAGTTCATTCATGCAGCTCACGTTCTGGTTGTGCAGCTCATCTTTGTCCATATTCGCCCTCAGCAGTTCTTGTTTGAGCTGAAGAACAGAGGTGTCCTGTTGGGTCAACCTCTGCTGCAAGGCATCCTGGGGAACAAAAGCTCACTCATTACTGTGGTCCCAATCGATCAATCAGCCAGTCATCACTACAAGTTTTAAACCCCTTACTGAGTATCCAGCAATAGTTCGGGCAAACTAGGAGATGGAAAGAATATGAGGTCTTGCTGTAAGGAGATGAGCAGGGATTCTTCTGTCCCTCTCCCAGATGCTAGCACCTAAAGAAAAGTCCTATCCACTGTCCTACCTAGCTGACTGAAACCCTCTTTCTCCTCCACCTATTACTCACCCCTACCCTCCACTGCCTTCCTGCCAGCATGATGCCAGAGAGAGAGTCGGACCGAGATTCAAATTACCAGTCTATTGCTTGCCTTCATGACGGCGACCATGGACAATGCTCTCTCTTTCCTCCCACCCTGGCTTTCTCATCTGTATCTAGGCTATATAAATACTGAGTCTAGATGAGCTCTTTTTCCTTCTCCTTCTCTGCCAAATCCCCATCTTCTAGAGGGCTGGGCTCTACTTCTGCCTGCCACCCCGGTCAGAGAGAATCCCTGGAATCCCTCTCAGCCTGCTCCCATTGCCTTCCAATGCCTAGTCTAGACCAGGACTGGGATTGTATTTCCATGCTCGGAACTCCTCTTGGACTTATGGTTTCCTTTCCCAGTATCCTATGATCTTACCAGCTTCAGGGTGCTGTCTCTCAGCTTAGACACTCTTGGTTCCTACCATGCCTAAGAACTGTGGGATGTACACACTTAAAAAGATCGGCTAGAACATACTTTTCCAACCATGGTGACCTCACATGGAACTCGGGACTGGAGCTGCACTGCAGTGTGTTTGGCCTTGATTTTCCTCTCTTTACAGAATGCAAAGAAAAATGGGGTGGGCTCTGGAGAAGGTGAGGGTCCGTTCATAAGTATGCTGTCAGCCACGGCAGTACATGCCAAAGGTCATCCAAGATGCGCTTGGCATCAGCAGTTCAGAGAACTTTTCCCAAAGTGTTAGTAAGTGTTGCATGGGAGAAAAGGCACTTCTGTGGTTAATAATTCCAAACTTTTTATGGCAGACTTTCTCAGGTCCTCTAGTATGGGACTCTTCCAGCCTACAGGGCCTTTCTCAGACTCATCTGAGCATGGAACGCTTTGTTTTCTGACATATCTCAAAGGACCAAGGCTATGAAATATACTCTGACTCTGACAAACGCTGTGGAGCTGTGCTCCAGTCTGCCCGTGAACAGGAGTGCAGGGAAGAGGGGAAGACAGCAGCTTAAGAACATTCTTTTACGTTTCTAGGTGTTTATGCAACAGATGCATTCCCAGGGGGGAAAAGCAACATATATTCAAAACTGCTAGCTAGATCACTGTATTAGCAAAAGACTGGAGATAATCTAGAAGACCATCAACAGGAACTGATTACATGATCATGTAAATATATACTGGCATACTATGCAGCCATAAAAAAGATCTAGGAAGGTTTTTATGTACTGAAATAGAATGATCTCCAAGATATGCTACTAAGTGAAAAAAGAGCAACGTGTCAAGCTGTATGTATAATATACTATTATTGGGGGAAAAATCATATACACACATATTTATTGATAACTGTAAGTTACCGCCAGGAAAGAGAACTGAGTGACTGAGTGGGGGGAGGGGACAGGGCTGGAAGACAGACTTTTCAGGGATGATCTTTTCACACCATCTTCACTTCAAGCCATTAAATACTATTACCTACTCAAACACTAAGTAAATTACAATGTTTAAGGGGACATTCTTCTTTAGAACTGAAGAAAACTATAAAAACTGGTTGTTTTTACATATAAAAACTGTGAGGGTGACACAGAGGGAAGGGACAGCGTAACAAGTCGTAACCGTCAGAAATTAGCCTCAGCAAAACACTGGTGTTTTTCCCAACATGTCTCACTTCTCATCCACAAAGTGATACTTCCTAGTATCACTCCACCTGCCCAAGGCTCCTGCAAATGTATACAAGACCCCAGACCCAATTATCCTCCTCCCACCCACGCTCTGCAGTAGACAGGTTTACCGGGTAGAGTTTATTTAAAGGGTTAAATGTCTTCCTTTTTACCTTTATCCCCTGTAAGTTTCTGGCTTCTTGTTTACATTTCAGCAGCTCCTTCTGCAAACCAAATATAGTTAGATCAGATGGCGGCATCTGGGTTGCATCAGAAGCATTACCTCATTCTGTCAGTAGGAACACAAAACTCAGATAGCCATTCCTTGAACAACTAACCCTCTCCTGAGGCAGAAAGCAGATCCGGTCCAGTAAACAGTAAAGGCGGCCTCACAGAGACAAGAACGAGACCCATCCCATCCTTCCCTGTGCTACCCAGGCCCAAATGCGGGTAGAGAAAAGCGTCTTGTCAAGAAAGAAGATACCACACATTCCCACAGACTCTCATTCCTACAGTTAGCCCTCTTCACTAACAGGAAAACCTAATCATGATAATCTAGGTCTCCCTTAACTGAAACACACAATCATATCTTCACGTGCCTATCCCCAGTGTCATGTGTTCCACAAAGGGATAGAGTCCTTCGGATTCTCCAAGTGGGCATTATTCTTTATAAACCAAACAAAGACACATTTAGCCCAATAATGAAATACTAATTATCCATCCCTTACAACAGATTAAAGACACGTATATAATTGTCACTAGGGAAGATTTTAGGAGAGGAACACCCATACTGAAGACCCTGCTCTCTTCTTTCCTATTGCATCACATTAAGAGTTTGGAATTAACATATCTAAAATAGGAAATTCCTAACATGGGCTCCACAGATGGACTTGAAAGTAATTCTATTAAAAATTCAAGTCAGTGAGTGCATGAGCACATACTCATGCATATCCTGGAGAGTGCTAATGGCTTTAGTCATATACCTATGACTCCAAAAAAGTTAAAACCCATTGAACTAGAAGCATTCTGGGAAGAAGTCTTTATAAAGGACCATACTAGACTATGATTAATACTACTGTATCGTGTATTTGAAAGTTGATAAGATAATAAATGTTGAAAGTTCTCATTAAAAGAAAAAAATGTGTAACTCTGTGTGGTGGTGGATGTTAACTATATTTATAATGGCGATCATTTCATAATATATACACATATCAAATCAATGTTATACACCTGAAATTAATATAGTATAAATTATTTAAAAATTATCTTAAAAAGACCATACTGGGGGGCACCTGGGTGGCTCGTCAGTTAAGCATCTGCCTTTGGCTCAGGTCATGATTTCAGGGTCCTGGGCTCCAGCCCCTAGTCAGGTTCTCTGCTCAGTAGAGAGTCTGCTTTTCGTCTCCCTCTGACCCACCCCCCCTCGTGCTCTCATTCACATTCCCTCTCTCTCAAGTAAATGAACTAAAAACTTAAAAAAAAAAAAAAAAAAAAGAAAATGACCATATTGATATTAGACCCATTTTTAATTAAAAAAGAAAAATTATGAAACATTTAAAACACAAAGAAAGGTGGAACCAATGACATGGATACCTGTTACCACCAAGACTCAAAAGACATTATTACGTTTTTGCCAAAGTCAGGACATGTCTCTCTCTTTCAATCAAAGATATAAAACAGACACAGACAAAGTGCTAAGTCTGCATCCTGTCCCTCATACCAGTCCCTGTTCTGAGGCTGGTGGGTGATATTCCCATAATTTTTTTCAAAGGGAAAAAGGCACATGTTCTGACATACCTTTAGGTCCTGATTCTCCTCCATACTCTGATCCAGACGACTCTGGATTATAATCTAAATATAAGGCACAAAGAGATGTCTATGCAGCTACACCGTGAGATTCAGAGGTCATTCATTCAGCAAGTATTTACTATGTACCTTTTCCAATGTTAGCCTCCTACCTGAATACAGAGAACAGGAAACAGCCCCTCCCCTCTGGGGGAAGCACAAGCGGGGGGGAGGGGCAAGGAAAGGACTGTGGATGAAATTCAGACAAGTGCCTGTGTACTAGGTACAGGGGGTCAGAGGAAAAGCAAAGGGATGATAAAATGACTCTTGCCTTGGAGGTAAATTTTATTGTTGCTGTTTTATAGAAAATGAATTAGAGGAGGACAGGAGAGGAATCAGGAAAACCAGCTGGAAGGCTGCTAGCATACTGGATGGAGGACTGAATTAAGGTCCTCGCTTTGAGAAAGGAGAGAAGTGGATGGAAATAATTTAAAGGGGAATGGACAGAGCTGGGTGACCTACCGGACACAGAGGGAAGGGCCAGAAGGATGCAAGGATGATGTTCAGTTTTGGGTATCTGGTGGGGGTCGGTAGCGATCAGAAACAGAGTGCAAAGGGACAAGTAGTTTTGGTGGTGGAGAGAGAAAGGCCGTTTAATTTAGGACTCAAGGTAGTGAGATGCTTATGGGACACGGAAGTGGAGATGATGGGCGGTGGTTACATGCCGCACATGCCAGTCTACAGCTCTGCAGGGAGAGCCGAGCTAGAAATCAGTATCTGAGAAACAGGGTGGGAAGTGCATGACGCCAGGGAGGCAGATAACACCGCCCAGGTGAACAGATCCGACAGCAGGGGCCCCCAGGGGAACTCTGAGCAGTTTCAAAGGGAACTTGAATGTGAGCTCTGTGAGGGTGGGGTCGTAGGTCTGCTTTGTCCTCCCGTATCTCCAGTACCAGGAAGCTGTGCCAGGCATAGTTGGCGCTCAGTAAATTTGTTGATGAGGAGAGGGAGGGAGAATGGAAGAAATAGTCAAAAATACATGAGGAAAACAGGAGAGGTGGGGTCAGGGAAGAGAACATTTCAAGAAGGTGGGGACAATAGAGTCAAAAGCTAAAAGCAAATCAAACACACAAACCGGTTTATCTGGAGTCCAGTCACAGATGAAGGAACTCACCAGTTGTTCCTCAGGATTGACTCCTGGTTCAAGGAGGGCCAGGGGCCTCTCCTGTTCATCTTCGGGTAAGGATCCATTGAGCAGTAAGGCCTGAAAAATCACAGAAGCAGAAAGAAACCTGACTCCCATCAGATGACGGAGTCCAGAGTTGACCTTGCTAAGCTTATCCTAAACTGAAATCACAACTGAGCTTCCCGTGGAAACCTCCTTGGTAATTTTTGGTCCTTTGATACCTCCAATTTTTCATCTTGGGTCTCTCGGGAGTTCCTTTTATCGGGACCACACTTAGGACCCTTTCATCTTCCTGGATGTGCCTGAATCCTTCACTCCAAGGCTCCGTGGCCCCAGCTGCTCAAACTGAATTCTACTACCTAGAAAGTGAACTAAAAGCAGTAAGATTGCCTTTCCTTAGAAAAGTTTACTACAATGAATTATTTAAAACACATTTAGGGGCGCCTGGCTGGCTCAGTCTGTAGAGCGTGAGACTCTGGATCTCAGGATTGTGTGTTTGAGCCTCAGGATAGGTGTAGAGATTACGGAGAAAGAAAAAAATCTTAAAAAAAAAAAAAATACATTTAGAGCACTGACTTGGGTTTGTTGGATTTCTGTTTGTTTTAGTAACTCTGAATTTTTACTCCCTAGGGCAACCTATATAGAACAAGAAGGAAAACCTATTGACAGATGTCCTCCTCATTTCCGCTCCCCACACCAGGCTTTGCTTTAACAGAGTGTGTGGGGGGTGGGGGAGGCACACTGACCCTGAAGGGGAGGAAGCACAGACCCTAGGGCCCTTCACAGGCACTGACCATCCCAAAGCCCCGCTCTAATATTGTACAGCTGAACAACACGGGTTTGCACTGCACAGGTCCACTGATATAAATTTTTTTTTTTTTTTTTACAAAATACATTACAGTTCTGAAAGCATATTTTCTCCTCCTTATGATTTTAACATTTGCTATTCTCTAGTTTACTTTAAGAGCACGGTATGTTGGGGTGCCTGGGTGGCTCAGTGGGTTAAGCCTCTGCCTTCAGCTCAGGTCATGATCTCAGGGTCCTGGGATTGAGCCCCGCATCGGGCTCTCTGCTCAGCAGGGAACCTGCTTCCCCTCTCTCTCTGCCTGCCTCTCTGCCTACTTGTAATCTCCCTCTGTCAAATAAATAAATAAAATCTTAAAAAAAAAAAAGAGCACGGTATGTAATACCGATAACAGTCAAAACAAGGGTTAATCAACTCTTTCTGTTTTCAGCAAACCTACGGTCAACAGTAGGCTGTTAGTAGTTAAGTTCTGGTGGAGTCAAAACTCATACACAGATTTTCAACTGTGCAGGGGGTTGGTGCCCCTAGTCACCTCCCCCACAAGTTGTCCAAAGATCAACTGTACTCATAATCTGTAACCTTATTCCTCAAGAAGACCCCCAAAACTGTATTCTTTAGCACTCACAAAACCTGAACTGCTCATGCAGGTAGGATTACGAGACCTATCAGCTCAGCGGAAGATTTAAGAGTGCGTCCCCTTTTTATATTTCAATTCTGTCCCAATTCAATCAAGAGTTAGAGAGGTTATGGGGCGCCTGGGTGGCTCAGTGGGTTAAGCCTCTGCCTTCGACTCAGGTCATGATCCCAGGCTCCTGGGATAGAGCCCCCACATCGGGCTCTCTGCTCAGCAGGGAGCCTGCTTCCTCATCTCTTTCTGCCTGCCTCTCTGCCTACTTGTAATCTCTATGAAATAAATAAATAAAATCTTAAAAAAAAGAGTTACAGAGGTTAAATCCCATTTCAGTAAATGTAACACTAATTATATCACAAATGATGGTATACAAAAACTGTTTAAAATCAGCCACTGGTTGGTCTATCAAGCACTAACTAATTATAAAATATTAGTAAATCAAATGAATTTGGCTATCCCCTGGAGCGTGGCAAGAGGTGTAAGACAAGTATGACACCACAGGGAGCTAAGGGAGAGCAACATGATGGACACATTAACTCTGTTAGTGGCAAAGTGTTCAGTGGGCTCTGAGGTACGCTAATAAGTCATCAATCCTGGTCGTGGCTTAGCACGCAACTCCCTCACCACTGAAAGAGTTAAGGAGCCCAGTGGATGCTGTGAGCCCCATTGTATTCTATAATGGAACTGAATTCTCATTGTGATCATGTGGCTGTGAATTAAAGCAACTCTGTTTGCAGGGAATATTAGGGTGCTGACTTTCTGCCTGTCAAATCTCTTCTCTTTCTATCTAATCTGCCATCGAATTTCTCCCAGACTGAAAAATGCAAATTAAACCGAAAGCCAAACGGATGAATATCTGTGTTCATATACTGCGAACCATCCTGGGAAAGAGCTGGTTGGGTGTAATCCCAAAATTAGCACATATTAATTAAACCAGTCCTTGGTGGAGTGGCAGATAAGAGATCTCAAAGGCAGACATTTAAAAAATAACAAAGCCAATGGGGAAAAATCAACAACTCTCCTTGGGAATGTTTAGGCAGTAAACATTCCTCCAACCCTTCTCAGCTCCAGTGGCATACATTATGCAAACTGTTTCTCCCCAGCACCAATCTCCTTCTTTCTTTCGGCACCCTTTGTGTCCCCACCCTGCTGCTGGCTGGCTGGGAGCACGCCCTCCACCACCTACCGGCTGCCAGAGCCACTCACATAATGTGTGCTTTGTTTACGTATCCATAAATATCTGACAATTCAGAAGCAGGGCCGTTCCCAGCACGAACAGAAAGGAATATTCCTAGGCAATTTCAGGGTCATCAGCACATGACAAGGGCTCCCCCCAAAAACAGGGACAGATGCACAAAGACAGAGGATTGGGGGGCGTCACTCAGGGTAGGAACTAAGTCAAGTGGGTCAGTCGGCCTCAGGGAGAGATTTGCCGAGCTGGCACGAAGGCATAGAAAAGACTGAAGGGCTTTGTTGCTCGAGGAAAACCTGTTACCTGATCATTATGGCTTGGTAACCTCTTGGAAACGCATTAGGAGGGAGCTAAATCCCTCAGCTAGACTCAGATGGAGAACTGCCGCATTATTGGCCCTTGTGCTCTTCCTGCGAGAGAATTTCTAGGAACAAATTCTAGACTGTTCCCACTGCCAATCTCTGGCGAAGGCCCACGACTGCAGGTCCGTAGCTGTGGACAGGTGAGACCCGCCTATGAGCAAAGAGCCAGAAGAAGGGTTGGGTAATGGCTCCCAGGCTTGCAGAAATCCCAACAGCTGTGCAGTCAGCGAGAGTCCGCAAGGTCCATTTGGGAGCACCCCTACAGTAAGAATTTTCTGCTCTTCGAGTACTACTCTGTCTAAACTCCCCATTCAACTCTGACGTCATACGAAACTGAAAAATGATTTTCAACTGATCCTCGTGACTTAAAAATAAGCATCAGTCGGTGACTGAGGATAAACCACACGGCAAAGAGCTACCTGTAATCCTGATATCATTTTCTTTGCTTCCTCCATTTCTTTTTCCAAATGTTCTTGTTGTTCCAACAGCTGTTCCTCCCATGAGGTCTCCAGGTAGGTTCCAGGGCTGCCCGGGCGCCAGTCTCGGGAGAACGGAGAGTCTGTCTCCTCTGCAAAATGAAAGGAGGGAGTACAGTTCATGCTGAAGAAGAGTTTCCAGCAGAAAGCGTTCACAGTCCCCCGCGTTCACGGGTTCAGGTCACCTGCCTTCCGAGCCTGTCTGCAAGACGCAAACGGGACTCTCCACCAGGTGGGGCTGCGAGATATAAGGAACTGGGCTATGAACTCGGGCTCCCGCGGCTGGGGAAACAGATCCCCCACAGAACCTTTAAGAAGTAAGAAGATTCCCTCCTGGGGAGTCTTAGTATGGGACACACAGACCCTATTCTTAATTCTCTGGAACTGGCGTCCCTGAAGCTGGATTCTGCCAGGTACAAAGACAGGAGCTGCCAGTCGCAGTGAAAACCAAATTCTCGGTTGCTGTGGAGCTTCAGAGGGGAGGCTCCAAGTTCATATTCCTTTGCCCGAAGCCCCCTTCACCTAGGACGCTGTGTGAGTCACACAGGAACCAAACTAATGAGAGTACACGTGCACAAAGTATTCAATCTCGCTCCGTGGGTTCGTTTTCTTTTCCTACGTTTAGGGTCTCTTTGCTCTTATTTCCTTGTCTGTTTTATCCCATCTAATTGTGTGCTCGGCTATTAAAAATGCATTCCGGAATTCAGAAGGGTATAAACTCTCCGAGTAAGTGTCTTCATTCATAAGCGTGAATGTAATAAGGATAATTCCTCTGGGTTGCTGTGAAGATTGAATGAGCTGAGCCACGAGCAGGGCTCCGCCGTGCCTGACCCAGAGCTCTCACTCAGTAAATGCTCTCCCTCCCCAAGGCCCCAAGAGTGTCTGGATCAGTCACAGGAATGACTCTTCGGTGCTAATTCCAGGGCTAGAGGCAAGAATTTAAGTCCGGTTTTTCTTCTGAGGGTTTCAGTTTCATTACAACCCTTACAGATGAATAAAACTCTATTGAAATCCCATGCTTCTTGTATGCTTCCCTCTCTGTTTACGTGAGAAAAAGGAGAGCCTGAAACAGAGGAAGTCTAAACAAAGGGGACCCTTTGTGGTCCCTTCTGTGGCTGTCACACCAGCCTCTAATGTAGTCCCGGTCTTTATACTCTCACAGACACCGCAGCTCGTACTGTATATTCCTGGTTCAAATGTAAGGCAAGGACTTACTGACATTATTTCTGTAACAGAGGGATAATAAAAACTGTTGACTTGAATAAGGCTTTGGATTGCCCCAAAGTCATATCCTAATTCACAGCAGCCGGCAGAGCAATGGCCCATCTACACTGTTGTAAGATTTTTGACCGTTACGACATCCAAAGTGCTGTTCTCCAAGAGGATAACCACGTTCATTGGCTCAAAGTCATCAGAGCCCCTAGGGCTGACCCAGCACGCACAGACTACGGAGAGGGAGAAGGCCAGGGAGTTTACAGGTAGATAATCAGGACCCCCAAACACTTCAAGACGAGGGCTGGTCCTTAAGCCTACCCAGGCGCGCTGACATATAGTACCTGTTCTGTTCTCTATTCCTTCAGCGGGAATCATCACAAAATCTGCCTTCTCCTCCGACTGAGTTATAATGGATTCGCTCTTTGCACTGTGGATAGGACTGGGTGAAGTCAGGCTGTGATGGAAGGAAAAGGAAGAGAAACAATTATTATGAACGATTGTTTTCTTAAAGATTTATTTATTTGGGAGAGAGAGCGCAGTGGGGAGGGAGAGAAAGTCTGAAGCAAACTCTGTGCTTGGTGTGGACCTTGACGCAGGGTTCGATCTCATGACCCTGAGATCACGATCTGAGCCAAAACCAAGAGTTGGATGCTTAACTGACTGGGCCATCCAGGAGCCCCTGAGGAGTTGTTTAGAAGCCAACTGTCATAATTTATCCCAGAGACATGTTCGGATTATCTTACTCCTACTGTCTAACGTAGTCCCCAGCCACAGTAGGAACAAATGTTTGTTGAATGAGTGCAGGATGAACTTACTGAATGAATGAAATGAAAGATAAGTGAATGACCCAGTCTTAGGAAGTCTTTTCCACAGCAAGGCTGCCCTTGAAGCCTAATTCACAAAGCACAGATTTACCAGGATGGGTAATCTAGCATCTTAAAGAATGTCAAGTTTTATTTTGTTTGCTCTTTTTTTTTTTTTTTTTTTTAACTTACCACCACCACCTGCTCTACCACCATTCCTGGGCCCAGATTCAAATACTGATATAGTGTGTGTCTTAGTAGCTTTGGGAGCTGGAAGGAAAATCTACTCACAGAAACAAGCATCACCAGCAGAGTAACATGGCAGATCAGCTCTAGGCTGATCTCAAAAGAGGGGACAATGCTGAGGGTGATTCACGGTGAGAAACTGCTGGGACTGTGGACAGTTGCCAGGCTGGGCAAAAAAGCAGTGACACATCAACAAGGACAGGAAGTGACAAGGAAAGGGGGAATCAGAAGGAAAAGGGGAAAAGACCTGATAGGGAAAGGGAAAGGTTTACTTGATTGGACCATCGAAGAGTTATTCAGATCCTGCTATACTCTTTGCAAATTATCATCAGAAATCTCTCAACAATTCTTAAGTTCTGCTACAACTATTAGCCTTGGAGGGAACCGCTGAGATTTTCGGGGAAGATGAATTTCAAAGCTGCAAAACAACAGCAACTCCACAAGACAAGATGGGAATGCGAGGCTGACATTTCCATCCGACGAGGAAAAGGAATCTGAAGGGCCTTTCTTCTTCGCACCGCACCTTGAGAACATCAGCTCTGAAACAATCTCAGGGGCTGTGGGGTCTCCAGGCCCGGCCCCCTCTCAGGGATTCTTTACAAATCCATCACCCAGACAACAGTGAAAGTGTCTAAGACTCACTGACCCACTTAATGTGCCCCTGAAGTCTCCCAGGCTAATCCTCACAGCCTCGATCAGGAGTTAACGTTTTGTCTTCCTAGAAACCAGGAAAAACAAGAGCTGAGCACAAGGGGTTATATTCGGAGATTTCAAAAACCTCGAAAGCAGTTTGAGGACTAGTGTCTCTTCTTCTTCGTTGTCCCAAGTTTAAGGGCTTTGGTGGGAATGACCTCAACCACTAATACATTCTCATCCTTATTAGAACCTTAGAAAACAATTTACAGTTTTTTGCTTCAAATTAAGGAAAGTCACTTAACCCTATCTACAGATCCATAACCTGAGTAGACAAGGGGTAGAAAGGTGGCGAGAAGCGGTATTTAGAAAAGATAATTGCTGATCCATCTTTCACCACTTAGGCCATCTGATTTCCAGGCCAACAGGAACTAACTGTGGGGAGGGCATTAGTGTAAGGGCATTCTGTCCTCATAAGAATAGATTTATGAGTATTCAGGCCTCTGCATTCCCTTCCTACAGAAATGGGGACCCACTTGCAGAAAAAGGCCTGTATTAGCTGCTCCTCTTTGAGAAATGATAAAATGACACTTCCTTAGCTGACAAGGTGCTATGGTTGACACGTTCCACTGCCTGCATTTGGCTGGACCACAGTGGGTATGTGTGAGACGCAGGGGGGTGGGGGTGGGAAGAGGAGTGTGAATCCAGGATGCTGGAAAACTGCTTGCCCGAAAGCAGAGACGCATGCTCAGCTCCACCTCCCCCCTCTTAAGTGAGTTGTCTCCCATATAAGGGCAGAAGGAGGCGGATGTCTGCATACCCAACCCCACCGGGGGAGTGGCAGCGCAGCCAAAGGAAAACAACATTTCTTTCTTGAATTTGAGGCTGCCAGCGAGTGAGGCCACAGAGAGGTAAGACCATGAAACTAGGTGGCCAAGTCAAAAGAGAAGGACCCGTGGAAGAAAAACCCTGAGACTCAGGTCAGAGCAGCAATCTTGCTACATCCCCAAGAAGAACCTCTGAGAGGAGGACGGGGCATTCAGTCAACTGCTTCAGGTCAAAGAAAAGTATTTTAATGCTAATTAGTTAGGTGGCTTGGGCTTTTCCCCATGAGCTCAGAACCCCGATTCAGTAAACAAGTAATGCCCCACCTGCCATCATAATCCCCTCAAACCAGGGAACGGACTACAAATAAGATTTGACTGATTGATTTCTTAATTCCCACAAGTCTGACATCTCTCCAGTCTTAGGGTCAGACAAATGATCCCGCAGCAAAGTCCAAATCAGAGTAAAATCAATTTTTAGAAAATGGTAATGGGTGATAAGAAAGCATCCTGTTTACTCCTGAAGTGCCCTCCCACAGCAGAGACAGGACAAGGTGAAGGGCCGCTCCTCCCGCCCCTATGCTGGCTCCAGTTTCCTAAACCCAGTGTATTTTGTACTGATAATCCCAGACCAGCAGCCTGTCCTTCGCAGTACAGCGCCCCCACCCATCCCGGTCCGTCTCTGGCCAAGAGCATCCTCCAGTCCTGGCCCTGCGCCCGCCCATGCCCCCCCCTTACCCCCACACCTCCAAAGCCAAAGTGGCTTCTGCTCACCATTTCACTTGCGTCCCTCCCATGGTCCCCCTCCTGGCTGCGGCTTCAGCGAGCCCGTTTCCCCGGGTGAAGCGGGAGGCTGGGAGTCACGGCGCTCCCGAATTCGGGCATGTCTCCCCGCGCTGGGGCCCGCAGAACCACTCCACGGGCAGGCCGGCTACCAGAGCCGCTGGCCCCGACCGCGGGAGAGAGTCGGAAGGGCAGAGAGGCGGGCGTCTCGGTCCCGGGGTCGGGGATGCTCCCGGGACTGAAGCGCGCGGTCCCGGCCGCTCAGACGCTGCAGCAGCCCGGCCTGGGCGGAAGCCGCCTCCCCTCGCAGGCTGCGGGTCCCCGGCGGCGGCATCTCGGCGTCTGCGGCCGCGCGGCTCCGGGCGTGCCCCCGGGCGCGGGCATCTCACCCCATCGCCCGCGCGGGGTAGCGCTGCCCGCGGCTCCCGCTGCGCGGTCGGGCCCCGGCGGCGAGCGTGCGGGCGCCCCCGGCTCCAAGCCGCCTCCTGCCCCTCCCGCGCCTCCCGCCCCTCCCCTCGCCGCCCCCGCTTCCAGGCTGTCAGCGCCGCGGTCAGCGCGGGGCTCGGACCCGGCACGGGCGGGGCGGGCTGGGAGGCCGAGCGGGAGCCCGAGCGGGAGCCCTGCGCTCGGGCAGGGGCGGGGCCGCGGACGCCGAGCCCCGGGGAGGGGTGGGCACCCCGGGGCTGGAAACGCCCTTTCCGCACCGACCCCTCCCTTCGCGACCGCGGAGGTCGGGGCCGGTGTCACCCGGCTCCTCGCCTGAGCGGGGGCCTGGCCGGGTGGAGACTCAGGGTCGTGCCCGCAAACCCTCCGAACGCCGTTCTCCTCCAACCTTCCCCCAGGCGTTGCATGTGTTCTCGTTTCCCAACTAAGGATCATTTTGCGTGGACACAGTAGGAGGCCGGCCCGAGGTCTACGGAGCAACAGGCAGCCAGGAGCGGGGGGCCACCTTTCCCATCTTATGAGCCGCTCCCCGTTCAAAGTCACATCGCTAGGTCTCCGGGCCTTCATGGGTCACTGAGCCATGAGGTGACCTCCCCTGAGGAAGGGGGTGGGCGACAGAATGTTCCAGAGCCTCCTGGGTCCCGTGAGCTTACTGAGGAAAACCCAACTGACCCAGCATCCCAAAGATGTAAGTGAGACGTCAGCTTAGAAGAAAATGACAAAAAAGCAGGAAGGAGCGACAGACCCGGAAATGAGACTCATTACCTGACCCCTCTCCCAAAATAACGGTCACTGCCCACTGCAGCCCGATTTCCAGGGGGTCCCTAATTTGCAGTGTCACAGCCCCTACTCCAGTCTGAGTTCTCCTGCCAGAAAGGAAGGAAGCAGGTGTTCTCAGGAAGACATCCAGACTTCTCTCCTCTAGCACTCCCTCTCTCTAGCGCTCTCTCTCTCTCTGTCTCTCTCTGTCTGGCTCTCTCTCACTTTAACTCTGGCAGGCACAAAAAGTGAAAGGCCTGTAGCCATGCAGGAAGCAACAGATCTCATTATAAATGAAATGTCCTTTGACTCTGTACCCAGTGATAGCCTAAGCAGCAAGCAAGGAAGAAATGGTTCAGATTCTCATTACTAGCACACCTATTGCCCAATGGGTACAGGGTTTCCTTCTGAGGTGATGAAAATGTCTTTGAACTGGACAGAGGTGATGATCACACAACATTATGAAGATACTAAATGCCACTGAATGGTACATTTTAAAATGATTAGTGGCTAATTTTATGTTATGTGAATTTTATAAATAAAAAAGCAATTTACTAAATGTAAAAATTAAAGTTGAGTAAGTATTAATATACTGATACAGTTATCAGTATATTAAAATGCTGGGAAGAATCCCATGTGACTGCAACAAATTAAATGGTCTATCAATCTAAGATGAAATTTTATGTGGAAAAGAAACAGTAAAGAAAATAAATGCACTTAAAATACATATAAGACAAAGAACAATTAGACTTAACTAGAACAGACTACACTGGGCTGGGTAGGAGAGAAAAGGTCATAAGAGCATAAATTAAAAATGATTCAGCAATGAAATGAAGTTAGTAAATAAGTTGACATGATCTGGGATGTATTTTTAGGAGCACGATTTACATGAGCCAGGAAAGTCGTCTTTTTCTGCCACTACACTTGGCATTGATCAGGCTTTATTAGAGCAGTGGGTCCTGTTTTGGTCTTTGCACTTGGCTCTAAGTGCTACAGATGGCTGTTCTGCTGGAGTCACAAACATCTTAGCCCACACCAATGCATACTAATCCGCCACAATTCCGGCCCTATAAATGAAAGCTGAAAACATCCTAATGTTCTCAGACAACTCTGCTCAGTTTTTCCTCCTGTTATACGCTTGCTAGAACCTTCTCAGGCCACACTTAGCGTTCAGCTCAGGCACAGAGGCAGTACATGGAACCAGCTGTCAGAAACGCTGGCCACCGAGACCAAACCAGGGGCTGGGCCCTCCCGGCTGCCAGTCATGCCCCCCTGTGGACAGAGCTGAGCACTGGCACTCAGCTCTGCACAACGCTTCCCTGTGTGGGAAACTTCCCCACTCACCACCCTCCCTACCTTCCAGCCAGCACAAAACTGCAAAGCAGCGAAGACAACCCCTTTAAAGTCAAACATAAACTGACCGGAAGAGAAAAGAGCGAGGAGCCTTACTGCCTGTCGTGTTGCTACTTGAAGCTGAAAACTCTGAGATGTGCCCCTCCTGCCCCCAGGACGGTCGTGCTAAAGAGCACGGTTACCTGGAGCAGCTGGACTCGGACGGGGACCTCTGCTGCCCTTCGTACTGCTGCACCAGGGCCCGCACGCTCCAGTACGGATTCTCGATCTCCTCGTCCATGCTGCTGTTCCTAAAGTCGGAGGGGAACAGCAAAGAAGAGGGTGTCAGTCCTTCAGGTCAACTCAGCGAGAACTGAGAGATGGCCACTCTCAGAGCGCGAAGGGGAGAAAGAGGAGGAAGGCCAAGCCCCTGCCTTAAAGACACCGGACACCCAGGAGGGAAGCAGACCTAAACACAACTATTTGCACCAGGCTCTGCAACACACAGGGTCCTGCCCTCTCCCAGCAGACATACAACCCCCAAAACGTTTCCTGCCATGGGTCTTCAGGACAAGCTGGCTTGAGTATACATTCTAGAGAGACACTCCCCCAGATGACTTGGAACACTGCTCCCACATATCTCCCCATGAAGAAAACACACTGTGCCAAAGGTATATATTTAACATCCTGGGCACCAGGACAAAAAATTACAAATATGATTCTTTTACTTTCTTCTAACTGCAAAGTAAACATCTCTTTTGATAGGGCTTTTCTGTCTTGGAACGTCCTCTCTGACCCCACGCTCCATGCTCTTTTCTGCAATGTGGGGCTGTTTAGGTGACACGTCCATCTATCGGACGATATCATTTGCCACAAATATCAGAGAGGAACAAGATCCCATCCCCAGATTTTGACCCTTACCTCTGTCTGTATCGAAAGATATCCCGTCCTGACCGTGACATGTCATGACACACGTCAGCCAGAGCAGCCGCTGCTCCCTGGGCCACAGCAGTGGCACAGTGTGGCTGGTGACTCTGCAGAGGGACTCTGGGGTCCCTTCCTTGGCTCACCGTCCTGTTGGAGCCAGGTTTGAAATGAGCTGCCAAGGCAAGGACCAGCCTCATGATAGACTTCAGGTTTCCTTCCACAATATCTGAGGGATAGAACAGACCCAGAGGTCCTAAGAGGGAGGCAGAGGGTTCATTCATTTAATACGTATTTGCTAGTGACACAAGTCTCTTTGTCCTCACAGAGCCACGTTCAACAGGAAGACAGAACGTTTAAAAGCAATAATAATGAAGTATGGTAATGTGTTACGGTAGAAGAACAGGATACTATGGGAGCACAAAGTAAAGGCATCTTATCCAGCCTGAGGTCTCAGGGAAGGACTCCTAGAGGAAGTGAATTTTAAACTGAGACTTGACTGACAAATAGTGGGCTCGTCAGGTGAAGGAGGAGAAGGAGAAATGTATTCCAAGAAGAGGGAACAGCAAGTGTAAAGGTCTAGAGGTGAGAGAGAGCACGACCCACAAGAGCTATGCTGTCCAATATGGGGGCCACTGGCCACATGAGGCTACCGAGCGCTTAGAGGGTAGATTCTGAATTGAAATGTGCTCCAAGGGTAGTACCTCACACAACAAAAGTCAGACTGAAACATATCTCATTAGACTTAGCACAAAAAATAGAAGGCACACTATCTCCTTCATAGCTGTTACATTGATTACATGTTGCATTTTGGATATACTGGGTTAACTAAAATGTTTTCTTAAAATTCATTTCTCCCATTTCCTTTTTATTTTAAATGTAGCTATTGGGATCTTTTCAGTTTCGTGTAGGAGACGCAGCACAGCACTGTGGCAGAGGAAACTGAAAACAGCACAGCGGGGTGAGGGGCTCAGAGTGCAGGGGTGCAGGTGAAGGGTGAGGCCGCAGGGGGAGAAATCAGAGGCTGGGTCAGAAAGGGCATGGCAAGCCCCAGGATGGACTTTGAATTTTCCCCTAAGGACCCGCACGTGCAGAGCAATAGCATGAGCTTATGTATTCTCAGAAACATCATTTTGGCTACAGTGTGGAGAGCGGTGGGGAGGGAGACAAAACTCGAGGCAATGAGACTAATTAGGAAGCTGCTGTACTTCTCCAGGTAAATGACAATTATGTCCTCAATGGCAGTATTCCCTCAAAATAGCTAACTTTAATGGGCCAGATCCCCAAGCCCACCCCTCAGGGGGACCAGAACAGAGATATTACGGCACTCTAAATTTTGCCCTAGAAAGAAAACGCATGCAAAAAAACAATGTGATTGGGGCGCCTGGGTGGCTCAGTGGGTTAAAGCCTCTGCCTTCGGCTCAAGTCATGATCCCGGGGTTCTGGGATAGAGCCCCACATCGGGCTCTCTGCTCCGAGGGAAGCCTGCTTCCTCCTCTCTCTGCCTGCCCTTCTGCCTACTTGTGATCTCTGTCTGTCAAATAAATAAATAAAATCTTTAAATAAATATTAAAAAAAAAACAATGTGATAGATCTGGTGAAAGTTAAAGTAAGGGAATGGGTAAAACTCCTATTTTTTTTAGTTTCATAGCACTGCAAATAGGCAAAGCTTGGAAAATGATTGACTGATACCTCCTACAGGGCGCTCTCCATGGTTAAGTGTCTGCCCCACCTGAATGATCCCAACACAGAAAACACCAATAATCCAACATGGAAGGAAGGCTCCCTACAGCCCTCATTCTCATCAGAGCCACAGGCAATCAGACCCAGAAACTGAAGCTGAAACAGACCCAGACCTACAAGCAATTCTAGAGAAACAGTGGGAGGGCCAGGGAGCCTGGGCTCTCTGACCACAGAAACGATTGCTTCCTTGCAGCTGGGCTCAATATGGACTGAGGAAGTGTCCTCTTTGGGTTCTGCAGCTATAAGAGAGGCTATGTACAGAGGTCCCAGAGCCCCTTTACATCTTGCCTGAAATATTCTGCAATATCCCCAAAATTAAAAGCTATAAACTATTTTTCTTCTGGAAAACTGGATGGGAAAATCTATAGCTATTATGATTTGAAATAATTCTTGAGCATAAAACCCAAGAAACTTGAAAAACATAATCTGTCTTCATTTTTGATTACTTAAATGAGACACTGTAAAGTTAATATCCCAATCTTGTCATTGCTACTGTATTTTCTTCACACATACACTCAAGCAGACCTTTATTCAATTAAAATGAATAGAGGATGTCTATCTCCATCCAGGTTTTCAAAGCACTCAGATTTTGATGATCCCCTGTCCCAAGAGGGTAACTCTTTATGGATAAATGATATAATGCCATGGGCCTAATGCTATTCCAGTCTACTCAGAAGCCTTGGCTATACAATGGATGGTTCTTCTGAACCTCATAATCACTGGGTAAAGCTGAGTTTACTCATCCCCCAAAGACGTGATGGGCCGCTGACCTTTAGCCGAAGTCTGGTGCATGCGAATCTTTTTGGAGGCCACAAACTGGAGCACTTTCTCCACATTATTCTTCATCTCCTGTTGGTTACTGGGAGCCAGCTGTACCCCCTTCAGTTTTTCTCCTGCTGTTAGAAGAAAGAAAACATACAAAAGCTATAGGGAGGAACACTATCAAAGTTTCCTAACAGCCAGATAGCAACGAAGGGAATATTTGATGGAAACACTAAGATTACATATAAATATGCAAGTGCGTTAAGCCTTGGTGTTGATCATTTGGATGTGGAATAAGAAAGGAAGAGCCTTTTGGAGGGTCTTCAAATTTTCAAAGCTATATGCAGGGGCCTGGGAAATGACCGTGTGTATGCTTCCTCATTCAACAAATCCTCACTGAGCACCCACCGCATGCCTGGCATTGTTGTGGGCACCAGTGAAACAGCCATGAACGACATGGACAGAGTCCCTTCCACTGCAGACCATCTATCTCCAGGGATGACAGAGGACCAAGTGAACCAGTACATGTTTAATATAATTTCAGGCAGTGGTAGGTGCTGTGAGGAAAAACGAAGAAAAGCAGCATCATGGCCTCCCTGATAGTCTATGTGGGCAGAGACCTGAATAAAGTAAGAGATGTTAGGATTTGAGGAGGAAGCATTCCAGACTGAAGAACCACAGGTACAAACACCAGGGTGGGGAGGGGGGCACCTGGGTGGCTCAGTGGGTTAAAGCCTCTGCCTTCGGCTCAGGTCATGATCCCAGAGTCCTGGGATCGAGCCCCACACTGGGCTCTCTGCTCAGCAGGAAGCCTGCTTCGTCCTCTCTCTCTGCCTGCCTCTCTGTCTACTTGTGATCTCTGTCTGTCAAATAAATAAATAAATAAATAAAATCTTAAAAAAACAAAAAACAAACCTCACACCAGGGTGGGAATGAGCTCAGCTTATCTGAGGAACAGCAGTGGCTGGAGTGGAGAGAGAAAGGGGAGTCAAATCCTAGGAGAAGGTTGACAGGTAAGCAAAGCCAGAGTCATTTAGGGTCTGTAGATTAATAATCTGTGTTTTAAAAGAGGACTCTATATGGACTCAGCCTACGTAGAGAGGAAATGGGGAGATTTGTTAGAAAATGAAACTAGTCAAGGCAAGGGTTAATGATGTTTTGGGCTTGACTGGAAAAGGCTGACAGGTGAAAAGTCAGGTATCGGGTAAAATTTTAATGTAAAGCAGATAGCACATGTGAAGGACTGGGTACGATATAGGAAGAAAAGAGAATAATTAAGGACAACTTCCACAGCTGGGTGAATGGTACCATCCTGTGTTACTTCAGAAGAAATCTGGAGGAGAGAGGAACTGGTAGGGAGAAGGATAGCCCAAGTTCTGATTAGGGCATGTGCAGTTAGAGCTGCATTTCAGACATTCGGGGCGCCATGTTGAACGTGAAGTTGATATTCATGTCTCGAACTCAAAGACAAGTTTAGAGCTAAAGTTACGGATGTGGGAGGAGATCACTTGGGGACAGAGAAAACACAAGGGCTAGGGACTGAATACGGAGGACTTCAACACTTAGAGGTCATGAAGGAGAAAAGCCAACAGGGCGAACCGGGGGAGCCAGTGAGGAAGGAGGGCCCTGGAAGCCAAGTAACGATGGTGACTGGAGGAGGAGGGACAAACTGTGCCAGGTTCTGCTAAGCTGAATAAAATGGGGGCTGAAGCCAAGCCACCAGATTTGATAAGGCAAAGGTTGTAACCTGGACGGAAGTAGTTTCAGTGGAGGAATGGATCAAAAGCTCGAAGACGGCACGTTAAAGAAAGAATGGGGACTAAGGCAGTGAATTCAGCAAGTCTTTCCATATACCAAAGTCACAATAAAATGCAGCATTTAAGAATCGGGGTTTTGGGAAACCAAGAATACATATTCATATTGTTTCCATATGCATAGAACATCTCTAGAAAGAAATGCAAGAAATTGCTAACACTGGTTGCTTCCAGAAAGAATACATCATTGGTGCGGCTGGAAAAAAGGCTTTTACATCCTTTTGTGGCTTCTGCATTTTCTATCTGATTATATTTTCAAGTATAATCAATTCAAATCAGTGAAAATGAGGGCTTGAAATGAACTTTGGAATTAAAATAGATCTAGTTTTTTGCCTCTCCTTTGCCACGGTACAGTTACGTGGCCTCGGAAAGTCGCTTAGCCTTTCTGAACCTCATAAATGAGTAAGGCGGTAGTACTCATCTCATCTCCACGGCATAAATCATCTGAAGTACCTTAGCACAATCCTCGATACATTCAAAGTGCTCAATGAATTTATTTATTCATTTTTATAAATCTTCTAAGCTTAGTTTCCTGAAAATGGGGATGACAGTATCTGCTTCTCAAGGGCTGATAATTAAATGAAATGAGATAAAAAGTGTTCAATAATGGCAGCTCTAACTATTACCATCATTATTATTATAAAGGGGTACCCTGATGAATCCATGAGCTGGCCCATGGAGGTAGCAATCCGGGCTCTTTCCATGCCACGTGCAAGCCCGCATCTCTCAAGGACTAAGCAAGGTCAGCTGATTAATAGAACAGTAAATGCCAGAGGGCCTATTATGTGCCAGGCACTTGGGTAGGAGTTGTGGAAACAGAAAAAAAAAAAAAATACACTGTACCTGCTCTTAAAGAGCTCAGTCTATAGAGGAGAGCCAGGAAAACAGTTACTGCTCAGCGAATGGCAATACTGTCATGATAACAGCTGTGGACAAATGCTGTGGACACAGGGTATGCTGTCCTCCAGTAAGAGCGGCTAGCAACAGCTCCAGGGCTCCCTGAGGATGAGCCTTTTCATGGGACGATATGGGATTGTCACGGAGGGCTCCTTTTGCTGGCAAACCCTCCTTCTTTTGGCCTGACTGCTATTTTCTTTTCCAGCCTTGGTTTGGACATCAGTTCTTCTGGCAAGCCATCCCTGAACCCTAGGACTGATTGGATGCCTCCATCCACCCATGTGCTCCTCTCTGTCCTTACCCCATCAGAGTCCAAAGTACATGAATGGAATTTCATTCCCTTTCCAGTGTTTCCAACTAGATTGGGACACTCCTGAGAGCACAGACTGTGCTCACAATCACATTGCCGGAGCATAATACGGCGCCCAGCACACAGTTTGCTGACTCATAAATAAATGAATTAACGTTGGGCAAGTATGTTAAACCTTCTATACTTCCATTTCCGTATATTACAAAGCAGCGGCAAACTGCTCTGAAGGGCATGTGGAGGCTAAAGAAGGCACGTTCTGGCATCAGAGCCCAGGGCCAACTGACCAACGATTTCGATGAGATACACCAGGATCACCCCATCCCGAAGATCCTGTCGCAGGTCCTGCACCGGCTTCACCGCTGGCCTCTTCTTGAGCTGTGCGTTCACCCAGGCCACGTAAGCCTGCAGCTGTTGCTGGAAAAATCAAAGAAAGAAGAGAAAGTTTGCACGTTATTGTTCTCCTTCGCCCCGTGCCTTCTAAGGCAGTATTTGAGAATGGGCTCTGGGGGGAAATCCATATCCAAAGGGAGGAGGAAGTTTCAAGGAAAAAAAGAGGATGGCAAGACAGGGAGCATGTTCTAAAAATTTCTGGTTTTCTGCTAATCTTCAGGGAAAGCTAACCGCTGACTTGCTGGCAGGATAGACACTGATAAGCAGATGAGTGTTTCAATGACAATGACTCCTGCTTTCCTTGTGTATTCTCTGTTGACCGGGAATGAGGCCTGGCAAGAAGCAGAGCCAGTTTTGGGTGTAATCACTGCTGTCAGCAGCACATAGTGCTTCACAGGAATAATCACTTGTGTTTCGAATGCACAATGGACAGTGATACTCAGAAGACTGGTCTTGGGGAACCAGGAATAAACAGCAAACCTGCTCAGAACCGCGTCTCCCATCGCTCTTCACAATGAGACTTAACTGAAATCATCTCAGGGTCAACCCAAGATTTATTCTTCTGAGCCCATAATCCTGGAATTGCTACAGTTAGTGTTAATCCATACTTTATACTGTCAAAGAGGATCTAGTTGCTTAAAACCTGCACAAAGAAGGAAAAGAAAAGGCTTTAGAGAGCAGTACCTGAAGACTTGGGTAGGGGAGATGGAGAACTTTCATTTATTGTGAGACTAAGCCAGCCAGTATCATCGGAAGCCTGATGGGCCCAGATAGGGACCTATAACCCATCCCAGCCCTTGGATAACCTGACATATTCCATTTTCTCCCTTACACAAAGCTCGTAGTCAGGGGTCTATTCCAACTACACATTTGTTCTGAAGATGGGCACTAAGTATCAAAATAGCACATAACAACATCCCAGAAGCAGCATCAGCTCTGTCTGGTTTCTGCAGAAACCCAAGACCCCAAACCTAAAAATCAGATTCAAGGGCTAATGGGTATTAAGTTACAGTCTGGTTAAAGAACACTTGATTTCTAAGCCCCAAGTACCTCATCAATGAAATGATGTTGGAAAGTACTCACTGCCTGCTTCCTGAGCTTAAATGAAATCTTCAGTATTTTCTCTGTGTCGATTTGTGGGAATAAATGAAGTCTTTGTAAGACAGCACTAAGGCAATAATCTATCAGCCGCTGACAAACTGCAGGAAGTGCCCTATCAGTGGGGGGGCGGTGGGGGTGGGGGAGAAATCCAATACCTACCTGAACTATACACCAGTTTTGGTGTTTGATGTGTGTTTTATTGTATTAATGAATGTACCTGAAACAGGACCTGCCACACATCTGATGTCATTATTCTCATCATTATCACCATCTAAGTAATTCTCGCAAAAGCACTGAAGGGTCAGTGTCCTCTCCGTTCTCTGGATGAAGTTCAGAGAAGTTATGTAACTTCCCCAATGTCCCCAGCTAGGACGGAGCAGACATGGCATTGAAACACAGTAAGTGCGGTCCAAGCATTGACCAAGGACTTTGTGCTGCCCAGCTCAGTCCACACCTTCTGCCTGATATGGGCCAGGCTCCCGCCCAGACTCTACTCCCGTCCGCAGCACTGTGGGAGGCAGACCAGGCAGGCAAAAGGGCACCTCTGCAGTAAACCACTCTGCTCTGGGGAAAAGGAGTTAAGACTGGAAAAGGCATTAAGGGTAACAGCTGGGATCTCACCACCTGGGTCACATATAAAACTAACCAAAACAACACCCAGTAGGAACCAGGACAGTCTCTTCAACCACAAACAGTGCTGGGAAAACTGGGCAGCCACATGTGGAAGAACGAAACTGGACCATTCTCTTACACCACACACAAGATAAATTCAAAGTGGATGAAAGACCTAAATGTGAGACAGGAATCCATCAAAATCCTAGAGGAGAACACAGGCAGCAACCTTTTCAACCTCGGCTGCATCAACTTCTTGCTAGCTACATCTCCAAAGGCAAGGGAAACAAAAGCAAAAGTGAACTGCTGGGATTTCATCAAGATAAAACGCCCCACCGGGGCGCCTGGGTGGCTCAGTCGTTAAGCATCTGCCTTCCGCTCAGGTCATGATCCCAGGGTCCTGGGATCTAGTCCCACACCAGGCTCCCTGCTCTATAGGAAGCCTGCTTCTCCCTCTCCACTCCTGCTTGTGTTCCCTGTCTCGCTTTGTCTCTCTCTGTCAAATAAATAAATAAAATATTAAAAAAAAAAAAAAAAAAGCTCCTGCACAGCAAAGGAAGGCATCAACAAAACTAAAAGGCAACCTACAGGAAGGGAGAACTTATTTGCAAATGACATATCAGATAAAGGGCTAGCATCCAAGATCTATAAAGACCTTATCAAACTTAACACACAAAAAACAAATAATCCAATCAAGAAATGAGCAGAAGACATGAATAGACATTTCTCCAAAGAAGACATACAAATGGCCAACAGACACATGAAAAAAATGCTAAACATCACTTTGCATCAAGGAAATACAAATCAAAACCACAATGAGATACTTCCCCACACCAGTCAGAATGGCTAAAATGATCAAGTCAGGAAACAATAGATGTTGGCAAGGATGTGGAGAAAGGGAAACCCTCTTATACTGTTGGTGGGAACGCAAGCTGGTATCAGTCACTCTAGAGAACAGTATGGAGGTTCCTCAGGAAGATAAAAAATAGAGCTACCCTAAGACCCAGCAATTGTACTACTAGGTATTTACCCCAAAGATACAAACGTAGTGATCCGAAGGGGCACGTGCACCTCAATGTTCATAGCCAGCAATGTCCACAATAGCCAAACTGTGTTAAGAGCTGAGATGGCCATGGACAGACAAATGGCTAAAGAAGATGTGGTGTGTGTATACAATAGAATATTACTCAGCCATCAGAAAGGATGAATACTTACCATTTACATCAACATGAATGGAATTGAAGGGTATTATGCTGAGTGAAGTAAGTCAATCAGAGAAAGACAATTATCATATGGTTTCACTCATATGTGGAATACAAGAAATAGCACACAGGATCATAGGGGAAGGGAGGGAAAACTGAACAGGAAATCATCAGAGAGAGACAAATCATGAGAGACTCTTAACTGTAAGAAACAAACTGAGTGTTGCTGGAGGGGAGCTGGGTGGGGGGATGGGGTAACAGGGTGATGGGCAGGAAGGAGGGCACGTGATGGGATGAGCGCTGGGTGTAACACACAACTGATGAATTAATGAACTCAACATTTGAAGCTAACAATGTACTGTATGTTGGCTAACTGAATTTAAACAATAATTTTTAAAAACCCTCCTAACCAATCTCCCTGTGCCTAATATCATCTTCAACAGACCCACCACACATTCCTGCTTCAGATCCTTCACTGGCCTCTCTTTTATTTATTTATTTATTTATTTATTTGACAGAGAGAGAGAGATCACAAGTAGGCAGAGAGGCAGGCAGAGAGAGTGGGAAAGCAGGTTCCCTGCTGAGCAGAGAGCCCGATGTGGGGCTCCATCCCAGGACCCTGAGATCATGACCTGAGCCGAAGGCAGAGGCCCAACCCACTGAGCCACTCAGGCGCCCCTTTACTGGCCTCTCTTAACAAGATAAAACCCAACCTCCTTAGCTGCATTTAGTTTCATGTGCTGGCTGCTACCTCTTCTCCAGCTTTACTTACCACCCTCCCACCTGCCTGCCCCATTTCAGTTCATCCAAACCACGCGCACTGCCCTAAACGCACCGAGCCATCCAGCCACTCTCCCTCCCTGAGCTTGGTGCCTCCTCTTAAGGCTCAGCTCGGGCATCACCTTCTCCAGGAAGCCTTCCCTGACTCCCCACACACTTCAGCTCTGGTCTCGTTGAGGATGTCCTATGTCACACAGGGCTCTGAGAGCACCAGCCCAACCTGGGCCCATAATTTGGGGCTTGGGGAGGGGTGGCAATGGAGACAGTGAGCTCAAAGGAGCTCAGGTCTGAACCATGCTCTGTGCAGGGAGTGACAACAGTTCAGAATTCTTGGACTCTAGATTGACAGGGGTATGACAAATATTTGAGTCGGTGAATCATCTGTCACATTTCATCAGGCCGAGACTTAAAGCGATTGCAAACGTTAATAATGCAGGGGCAGACGAGAACAAATGGTCCACGTTAGGCCAAGATCATTTCTACTTGAGTAACCACAGGCTTCTGTTGGCTATTGAATAGAAGTCCTGTCTGATGCAAAACTGATCAGAGGTTCTAACAGTACTTTTCAAGCACATTAATCTCCGCTCTGGTCTTTCAACAAAAGAGGATTCTACAGCATGAACGATAATAATAGTCACCACTGTTCTCAACACCCACTCTATGTCAATAATTATGCTAGGTCCCTCATTCATGCATTCATTTATTTATTTAGTAAATTCTATACCCAATTTGGGGCTGGAACCCACAACCCCAAGATCAAGAGCCACACGCTCAGCTGACAGGGCCAGCCAAGTGCCCCTCTGCTATGTCCCGGGAACACATTTTTCCTATTGCTAACCTGCCAGGGAGGTTTTACTTTTGCTAATTGGAGTCTGAGACTCCAAAAAAGGTGAAATAACTTGTTCCAGGTCATGCAAACAGCAAACCGTGACTATGATTCGAACTCCCAAGCCAATGTTCTTTTCACCAGACCACACTATTGCCTAAATAAATGCATCCCTGAGGTTTCAGTGACTCTCCCTCAAACTCTCAGAATGGAAGGCACCGTAGTCGAAACCAGTTTCTCCACCGCATCCAGTACTTGGGTGTCTCAAGTAATAATCTACATGAAGCAGCTATCTACTACTCCAAGCATGTCCCCCAGGCCAGCAGCATCCGCATCACCTGGGACTCTCAGGCTCCAGTCCAGGCCTACTCAATGAGGACCCATACTTTAAACAGATCTCCTCGGGATTCATAGGCACATTGAAAATTGAGCAGCACTGTTCCCATCCCTGGCTGTGCATCAAGATCACAACGGAAGATCTTAAAAAACACAGACATGTAGACATTACCCCATCAAATTCTCTCCAGGGGGTTTAACTTAGAAAGCTTTTTTCCCCCCAAGTTCCCTCATATGATTCTTGTAGAGCCAAACTGAGTCTTCTAGCAAAACACTCCAGTTCCCTTGACCAAGGGGTTTCCTACACCCTGATTATCCATCAGAAGCACCCCTAAAGCTTCTTAAAAATACTAATGTCTGGGGCCCACTACACACCAGTCAGAATTTCTGAGAGTAGGGCCCAGGCACATCAGTATTCCTTAAGTGCTCCTACATACATCCAGAGTTTTGAGCCAAGGTCAACATCCCTTACATAAAATGGTTTCAAGTACTATTGCTCTCTGGCCTAAATCTCTCTGACACCAAGACATCTAGAACCTAACATAATACTCTGGGTATAAAAGGAGACATGAAGATTCCTCATTCTAGACATTTCTCTCTTCTTTTTCTTCTTCCTTGGCCACCAGAAAACACTGTTGACCCACACTAGGGGCTTATTCAAAACCCCTAAGTATTATTTTTTTTAAAGATTTTATTTGAGAGAGAGAGAGCGAGTACAAGAGGGGGTAGGGTCAGAGGGAAAAGCAGACTCCCCAGTGAACAGGAAGCCCAATGTGGGACTAGATCCTGGGACTCCAGGATTATGACCTGAGTCAAAGGCAGTTGCTTAACCGACTGAGCCACCCAGATGCCCATTTTTATTTTATTAACTGTTCTTTTCGAAATAATTCCATACTTACATGAAAGTAACAAAAATGGTACATTGAGTTTCCCAATACCCATCATTCCCTAGCTTCCCCAAATGTTTATATCCTACAGAACGATAGTGTAAGATCAGAACACGTCATTCATACTAACATAATACCATTAACTAATTTCCAGACCTTATTCCAATTTCACCAAATTGTCCCACTGTCCTTTTACTGTCCAAGATCTCATACTACGTTGAGCCATCCTGTCTGTCTTGTTGGTCTCCTCCAATCTGGGACAGTTGGTAAGTCTTTCTCTGTCTTTCATGATCTTGACAATTTTGAAGAATATTGCCCAGTTATTCTGTATAGTGTCCCTCAGTTTGGGTTTGTCTGCAGTTTCTTACTGATTAAATTCAAATTATGGATTTGGGGCAAGAATAACACATAAGTCATACTGTACCCTTCCCACTGCGCCATATCAACAGGCACATGATGCCAATACATCACAATACAAAATTAATTGTGATCAAATGGTTAAGGTAGAGTCTGCCAGGTTTCCCTACTCTAAAGCCATATTCCCCTTGTAATTGGTAAGTATCCTATGGGAAAATGGAAATATCCTTTTTCTCATCATCACCTTATCTGTCCATTTTTTTTTAAGATTATTTATTTATTTATTTGACAGAGAGAGAGAGAGAGAGATCACAAGTAGGCAGAGAGACAGGCAGAGAGAGGGGGAAGCAGGCTCACCGCTGAGCAGAGAGCCCGATGAGGGGCTCGATCCCAGGACCCTGAGATCATGACCAGAGCCAAAGGCAGAGGCTTAACCCACTGAGCCATCCAGGCGCCCCTTATCTGTCCATTTTAAATTGAACATCGATTTTTCATTCCTGAAAAAACATTGAGTTTTCCTGATTGATTACTATGACGTTCCCCAAATGATGATTTTCTAATTCCACCATTTCTTCTACAAGTAGTAATTGGAATTCCTAATATGAGGAGCTCTCCCTTCCCCCTCCCCCCAATAACTTATTTATGTCAGTATGAGCTCATAGGCATTTATTTCACTTATATTTACTTTTTTTTTTTTTAAGATTTTATTTATTTATTTGACAGACAGAGATCACAAGTAGGCAGAGAGGCAGGCAGAGAGAGAGGGGGAAGCAGGCTCCCCGCTGAGCAGAGAGCCAGATGCGGGGCTCGATCCTAGGACCCTGGGATCATGACCTGAGCCGAAGGCAGAGGCTTTAACCCACTGAGCCACTCAGGCGCCCCACTTACATTTACCTATTATGTTAATCCATTACTATCATTATTTATTTTGTTACTCATATTGGGATGAATGTTGGCTTCTGTATCCTTTTCATATGCTCCATTTACTTTTTAAGAAACTGCGGTAAAAATAAATAAATAGGGGCGCCTGAGTGGCTCAGTGGGTTAAGCCTCTGCCTTTGGCTCAGGTCATGATCTCAGGGTCCTGGGATCGAGCCCCGCATCTGGCTCTCTGCTCTGCAGGGAGCCTGCTTCCTCCTCTCTCTCGCTCTCTCTCTCTGCCTGCTTGTGATCTCTGTCTATCAAATAAATAAATAAAATCTTTAAAAAAAAAATTTGTCATCTGAACTCTTTTTGAGTGTATAGTTCAGTAATGTTTAGTGTATTCCCACTGTTGTGCATTGAATCTACAGATCTTTCTCATGTCGCACAACTGAAACCCTGTATCCATTAAACAACAAATCCGATTTCCCCCTCCTCTCAGGCCCTGACAACCACCATTCTATTTTCTGTTTCTATGAATTTGAATAGTTTAGATAACTCAAATACAGGGAAACATACAGTACTTGTCGTTTTGCGATTGGCTTATTTCACTTAGCATAATGTCCGCAAGGTTCATCTATGTCGTTTCATGTGTGTGAAATTCCTTCCTTTTTCAGACCGAATAATATCCAAAAGTAAGTTTACACCACATATTGATTATTCATTCATCTATTGGTGAACACATGGATTGATTCCACCTCTTGGCTCTGGTGAATACTGCTGCTAAGAACATGAGTGTGCAACACTGATCGTCAAGACCCCACTTTCAATCCTTTTGGACACAGACCCAGAAGTAGGACTGCTGGATCATACAGCCTGATCATGTTTCTTGAACACTTCCTTACTTTCTGGCATCAGAAAATATTCTACACTCCTCATCTTGTACTTTCTCTGCCCAGCTCTGGAATCAGCTATTTCTCAAAAGAACTCCAGTTCTTTCTACTGGAGAATAGCTTTTAGAAACCAGATTTTGGGCATGAGTTGTGCTCACTGTTACTGGGGTAACATTCTTGACCCTCATAGTAGCATAGTAGGAAACAGGTGTATGTACACACACACACACACACACACACACAC